AAATTTTTGTGACACATTTACATTTTGGCTAATCAATTCAAAATTTGAATAGCATTTGCTCAGATTTGAGGAGCAGTAAACCATACATCACAAAAATTTGCAATTCTGATAAATAAACAATATTATAATCTTTAGTCTTGTTTTATTATTCATTTACATGTACATGTAACACTTAACAAATAAACAATTAACATTAACAATTAAATAACGTGTCTTAGTTAGTTTTATATTAATTGAATGAATGAATGTTGTTTTATGGCGTTTCCCTGTCGGCACAGTGCTCTGGCCAATTTGCTCCAAATATATTTCCTGGAGCTGGGCACTACTTCACTCTTTTCTGACTTGCATATAGAGACAGGTAGTGTGGGCAGACATGTTTTGACGTAGTGTTACTAAAAATAGACGGGCATCCCTAATGATGGCGTTGAGCGTTAAAATGAGTAAGCTTTTCTTTAATGTCTAAGATTGCTCTAGCCAAATTAAACGTTGATCATGCGACCTCTTATTGTTATCTTAAACCCAAACAAAGCGACAGCTTAAAATCAACTCTTATAATCAGATACAATCCTCGGCCTACCGCCTATGTAAATCGCTCATCATTACTTTGATTTATTGCCGTATTTCTCAAATTCCAAAACATTAATTATTATACCGTTAAATTCCATTATTGAGAAAATATTGCATAGTTTCGGCTCTAATCCACAAGCTAAACATACACTACCGCTGCATTTATTGCCTGACGTCATTTAGAGTAGGTTATCCAGTCTACGGTATTGTTTTCTCCGATTTACCGATTTATTAATGAAATTAGTCGTGATACTTTTATCCAAATGAAATATTTTCATCCAAAATATATAATGAATCGCACTTCACAAGTTTGAAAGCAATTTTTGGCTAATGAATAAAATAATTCTATCGCTTTTACCGCGATTTGAATCGCCTTTTGCGATACCGCTTAAATTGAACCCTGCGGGCCCCAATACTTCGTCCTCAATTCCTTATGAATGTTCACAAGACTAAGTTTGCGATAATTGTTGTCAGAGTTATGGCCCTTTAATTCTTATTTTCATAGGATTGGAAGCCTATTGCTTCCAGAAAAAAACTTATGGGCGCTTTAGTTGTACCTGACCAATAATAATAAATAATAAAATACTGTCACTGATACATATAATAGACTGATTTTCACTTGACAAAATGACAGGCACCAAGTGCCTTATTTCTAGATTTGTGTCTCTTTCCATTGAATACATGACCATAGCAATAAATAATCTTATATATTACTTTATAACTGAAGTATATTAGTTAATAAGACATTAAAGCGCCATTCGTATTATAGTGTTGTTATATCCTATACTTTTAGTACACTAGTGCAATTTTATGTCTTCTTGTTTCTGCATCAGTGTAGATTAAAGATACATTATGGGAGATTTTTATAGAGAGTTGGCCATTCTTGCTATAACAGTTCAAAAGTAGATGATGAAAGAAGAATATATTGAAAAATTCAGTCAAATTACTTTATTCTGAACATAACTATCATTGTTGTAATATTTGCCTAGAAATGGTAGCGAAACGTGTCTTCACCTTCGCCGATCGTTTGATTGACAGGCGTTAACTCCACCTACATATCTCGATTATCAAGTAAAGTTTTCAATGGCATACGGAAACGCTTTACAGCGGCCTCGCTAGGTACACTCTATCATTTAGCCTCGATCTAACTGACGTATTTTCATCAGGTTACCCCTTATTTGATTTAATCAATTAGTGAAATCCTATTTAAATCCGAGTTGTAGCCGAGCCATCCGTGGGTCTACAGAGTTGATTTTGGTCTTGTTGTTTAAATAAAGATCTAATTTATAATTTCTATAACATCTGAAGCCTAAATTAAGACTTGCAATAATCAGATTTAGCTCTTGCATAATGCATGTTTAACTGATATATATTTGAACATTTAGAAGTAGTTGACTGTGATTATGAAGGAAGTGAGAACATCAACATTGTACAACTACAACAGACTAGTGTTTGTTACTCCCTGTCATTGCATGTTCAAACTCTGATCTCATGCTTTAGGTATTCACACCTTTGTTGTGTTGTTTAATAGAGCCTACAGTGTTTGCCAGTTGGCTGATGATAGTAGTTTGTTGACTTGGATATTACAGGACCACTGTTATGGCCGATGTGACTGAAGATAGCCTGAATATTTTATTCCATCAGGATATATGAAGTGTTCTCCTAATAATGTAGGAAATTATTGTATTGACATTTAATAACCGATCAGATAACAAGTTGACCACCAATCATCCTACTGTCTGTACCACATGGAGTGCTACAAGTTTGCTTGTACATGTTCTGAAACCACAAATCAGACACTCAGTATTCATTTATTAAAAATTGTATTTATATATTCACTTCCTAATATTAAAAACTAAAAAAAAATCATTCAAATTGTTGAACAAAAAGAAAGTGTTATCTCTTATGTTTATTATTAGAAGAGATAACTTAGAGCATGGGATGGGAAGTGAATGTAGCGGTAAAACTGAATTTGACAAATTTATCAAGAGTTTATGAGTTCAAGCAAAATTGTCTTTCGTCTGTGTGCATATTTTCTCTACTAATTCGTTTCAGTAGTGATATAAATATTCATATAAGTATTATAAAAATGTTGTTTTATCTACAATGAACTAAATGTTTATCTTTTCTTTACATGTATGTACAAATATTAAAATAAGATAAGATGAAACTACACATACACCTATACATTGTATTGGTAAAATCAAAGATATATTCCATAACTGGTGCATTCAGTTGCTGAGTGGCTTAAGCTATGTACAGCAATTGATGCAAATGTTGTGGGTTCGAACCCGCACTTAAAGGAAAGAGAGTAGTGGTGTGGCACTAACTGCTAAGATCCTTGCGTTCAAGAAAAATAATTAAATATAGATCTACCATGTTATTCCAATGGGACTTGGTTTGTGTTCAGTTCATTTCCCAAGAATTCAAGGGGAATTACAGATGTTGAGAGAGGTTTTAGGGCGAAATACATTTGCATGTACTGAAAGCAGTTGGGCAGATACTGAAAGCATGACTTTCAAAATACTTCTCCCATAGGTTACTATTCCAATGACGTAATGAAGATTGATAACTTATCAGTCAGACTGAAATTAGTGTGAAAACAGACTGAAAAGCGAATTAGTGATAAGTCTGCTCAGCTTTGTCAACTGTACACAAAGGTGGGGCTACTGAAACCAGTTAAAAAAAAAACAATTTGACATCTGTCTTCGAGGAGACTTTTCTTTTAAAACTGGCTTATTTTGACCGTTTGCTTAGAATTGCTAGTAAGTAGTATTGAACATGCACAGTAAGTTTTTCTTAATGTAGTTAACTTACTTAAGCTGACTTGGCCTGTAATATGTGTGAACGCAACACTCTATTGGCTTAAAACTCTTTTATTTAAACTAGCTTAAGTGTAAGTCCCTGAACAGAATATTGTTTTAGACAGCAATTATTATTATTATTACTATTATTATTATTATAATTATTACAGCATATTTATTGTGCGCTCTTTCATATAACATGTTCAGGGGCACTTTTACAAAGTGACAATATTTTCATAAATAAACAACAAGATTATGGACATGTTAATTATTTTATACAGAGTCAGTTAAAAGCCTGTGTTTTAAGTTGTTTTTTAAAAGAATATAGAGATGTACAACATCTTAAACTAAATGGTAGATTATTCCATAAAACAGGTGCTTGAGGCTTGATAACTAAAAGAGTGCTGTAAACAAATGATGAAAATATTAACATAGTTTGTAATGCTATACTAGCTGGGGATAATGTTACTGGTTAATGTCTGATTCTTCTTAATAAAACATAAAATTGAACAAGCTTTAGTCTTTTAATTCATTTCATAACAATAAAGGCTAGTTTTATTTTAGGTTCTAATTTGAATTTGAGTCACCTTTCCTCCCACTGCAAATTAAAGACCCCACGGGAATAAACATAGGCCACAATCAAATGCTGTCATATATAGTACATGTGTGGTTAGCCATCCCTTCTCATATCCATGAACTGAAAAGCATTTTTGAGCATGTGATACCAAAACGGTCACATATATCGCTTTTGGCTGATTGGATTAGGTCAATACATAATCTTATCCAAAATGTCAGACAAAGTGTGAGGAATGTATAATTTTTATATCTTGGTATTCTATGAATATGTAATTGTAATGTCTGATGGAAACATTTTTAATTTCGGTTGATTTGATTTCCAACGCGGACAAAACCAACAGAATTGCAACAGCAGCCCTTTACACTGTGTAGTTAACACTATCATATATAATAAAATATCAGTTTATTTTATGTGATTTATCATTTATTTATTAAACTGTGTGTAATCATGTCACCTTCATAATTTTGTTTATACAGTGTAGGGTAAAACCTTTTAGATATTTTATTTATTAATTTATTTTAATAATCTTTATGCAGTGTTGAACTTAGTGAATATATTATTTGATTTATCTTTTATGTTAGTGCTGCTTGGTTGAAACTGAAATCCTGTCACATATAAATCAATAGCCTATAACACTAATACATGTACACGTATACAAACTACATTACCGGTATTAGTATTAATATATTATGATGGAAACTTGACCATGCGTGTATTCTTGAATATCTTAAATATACTAAGGATAGTGACAATAGACTAGTAGAGTTTCGAGAATGCTAATCAAGGACAATTGTAAAAGTGCTCCATAAAACAAATTTCTTTATAATGTACTTAATTGTAATATGGGTCTGTCTAAAAATTACTTTTAAAACAATTTATTGACATACCCTCCCTTAAAAAAGTCAACTTTGTTTGACATATGTTTTATATTGGTTTAGGTCACTTCCCATTCTCCACACCTCTCTTAATAAGGCTGATCAGTCTTAGGGCGTACTTAAACTTACAATGTTTGTATGCTTTTTACATGTTAATTTTGAATTTGTATTTTTCAGGTGGGGCTGTCAAAGCCTACATGAAGACCAGCCCACCAAAAGTTACCTAGGTTGTGAACAACTGGTATCTATATTGATGAAAACATCTGACAGTGAAACTACAATAGATTGAAAAACCCAAGATGAAATTTGCCTTCTTGAACTAAAAGGTTCAATATTACATATCATGATGCGTCTGTACCCGAGGCGCATTTTGCGCTCTGTTCTAATGGTAGCCATGTTTGTTTTTGTTATGCTGAATTTACACATTCTACTGACGTCTCAGCCAGATCAACTCGGCAGAGCAAATAATCGTCTTTACCATGGTTACGGACATTATCCTGATGACACTCATGTTCAGTTTCGGCAGGAGACGCAACCAATTGATCCTCAAAGTATAGAAATCCTTTCAACTCGTAAACTAGTTATCCCCCCTGTTGAAGGCTTTTCAACTAGTTCTAAAAAAGACTCCATACACAAGAATATTGATGTGAACAATGTGACGTTTATAATGGAGGAGGTTCACCGATTAAACAAATTACAACATATTCAGAATTTGCCCAAATTTGGCCTTAAATTAGACAGTGAAAGTACTGTGATAGTCGTACAAGTTCACGATCGTGTAGAGTATTTAAAGATTTTATTGCAATCATTACGTAAAGTTCGGAATATCCAGAATGCTTTGTTAATTATTAGTCATGATGTTTATTCTAAAGAACTGAATGATGTGGTTGAAACTGTTGATTTCTGTCCTGTAAGTATTTCTTGTTTATTACCTTAAGCTTCACTATTGAATATTGATGTGGAGGTCCACAGGCTTTACCAAATAATCTTCTTAGCACGTACCACCCCATCTTGGAATTGTGACATCGTATCAAAAATCTAAGTCTGTAAACCGATTACTTGTCCTGGATCAACCATGCTGAGCGTTAGGCTTTTTTTCGAGAAGGGTTGTTGCCCCCAATTTAACTAAAATATTGCAAAAATGTGTATGTTATCCTTCAGTTTAGTAAGAAAAATGCACATCTGTACTGATAATAGTAATAGTGAAAGGCACGTGCCATATACCTGTCTTCATTAGCCCAATCAGAGCAGAACAGTAGGACGTTAAACCCCATTTCATTTCATTCATCTTCTTGGGCGAACCATGGTCTGCAGAAATTCTATGTCATGGGGCACAGCCTTTAAAGTACTATATGACTATGTTCATGCAAATAGCACTTTTAATAGAATAAGTAACTAAAGGTCTCCCTGCGACAATTTTTTTTTTTTTTTTGTAATTTCTTTGTTTTATCTAGACCATTACAATGTTAGGACAATGCAAATTGCAATATTATCAGTATTGTTTATGATAAAACTTTTAAAAGGGGAAAAAACGTCAAGTAGCTATTTGTATTAATTATTAATTTATGTTATTATTATCAATTTATGTTATCAATTTATATTATCATCAGTTTATATTATCATCAAGTTGTATTATCAATTAAGTCGGATTTAGAGTGCGTATACATGTACATTTAGATGAGTTTATATATGTAAAAGCTTCAAAGGTTAATCTTAAATGAATTCATCAAGGAAAGGTACAGACTACATGTAATGGGAGTGGGAAGGACAGTGTATTTACCAATTTTGAACCTCCGAAGAACTTTAAAAAAAAAAAAAAAAATGAAGTTGGAGTATTTGATTACTGCTTGTATATGTACATGATGTACAGATCATGGATAAAGAGAGTAATTAAACCCATATACTACAATTAGTTCAAGTTAAATATGAGTTGAATTAAAGTTAATTTGGATCGTGTATCAGCAATGTGTGGTCATTCATTGTTTGTCTTTTCAATTATTGTAAACTGATTAAAACATCAATCTTATTCCATTTCTTTTTTTATAGTTCAAATTTCGTATTATTTGATTTTACTACAGTGGGATCTGGCAGAGTTTTTAATCAAACTATGTTCATGTGTGAAATTAATCACCAAAATGGTCTGTTTGTTCAAGCTGTACGTGATTGTATATTAGTTAAATGTATTGCATTAACATATTAAATATATCATGTAGGACCAAAAAGTGATCAAAATCCATTAGTTTAATTGACATCAAATAATGAATACCAAAACATCTGTTCAAATATTCTTGAAAAACTATTTTGTTAAATTAATGCATAACATATAAACGTCAGGCTCGGTGATCATTTCCCTATTGTATGTAACTAATTACTCGACTTGAGTCTATGAAACTGAGATAAAAAAAATGTTAAGTTTAAGGTTGAACAGATGACCCAATTATGCTTGAGGAAACCTATTTTCGTTGGTTATAGATATTACAAGAGTAGCACTATCAGACAGGCTTTGTTCATAATCATCATATGATTTCAAACAATGTAGGAAAAAAAAATAATGCCCCATTGATCCATTTGTCACTAGAACATTGAAAAAAATAATCAATCAATTAAAATTATGCTTGAGGTAACCTATTTTCGTTGGTTATATATATTACAAGAGTAGCACTATCAGACAGGCTTTATTCATAATCATCATATGATTTTAAACAATGTAGGAAAATAAATAATGCCCCAGTGATCCATTTGTCACTAGAACATTGAAATAATCAATCAATTAAATTTTTATAAACATTGTTGAAATAAAAGTTCCTCCAAGAAAAAAGCTGATTGTCGTTGAGCATCTGTCCACTCTTCTAGTGGTGTGATATTTGATTAAAATTTGGTACACTGCTGTATATAGGCTAATATAATATTCCATTCAATTTTTTTACTGCATTATGTATCGCCATTTGTTGACTTAAAATCAATGAGAATTCTGTTATGGAGAATTATATTAGTTTAAAGGAGCTAAATCGTTAATATTTGGGACCTAGAAATTTTATGGTAAAATCACAACACCAATGTCGATTTAAATTCACAAATAATTTGTGTTTTCAATGTCGAAGACTTTGGATGATACTGAGTTAGAGACTTAGCTACTTTAAGCTTTGAGTATTTGATTGAAGGTTGTTACTCTGAGCTGTATATAGCAGAGTTTACAGATCAATTCGGATTGCTCAGACGAATTAGCTGCTGTTGATATATGGTTTGTTAACTGGCAACCCATATTTTCTCTTTTTCTTTCAGGTGATGCAAATTTTTTTCCCAGATTCGCAACAAATATATTTTAATGTATTTCCTGGTACGGATCCAAGAGATTGTCCTCGAAATATGAAAAAAGATATGTAAGTTACAAACATGCTTCACACAACCTGTCCAGCTTACAACTCTTATTCAGGGGGAGCAAAAATTAGGTGTGCCATCTTATAAAATGTAGATTTCAAGAAATGAGAGATGATCAATAAGCTTTAATGACGTGGAGGCAACATGATGTCATTTTGGTGAAGTCATAGACGCCATATTGGTTAACCCAAAACAGCATCTCTCTAATTATTTTGACAATATGCCAGGCTGTTCCAGGTAGACGGACAATGTGAAAAAGAACAAGAAATATAATATTTCTTGTGAAAAAAATCCTTTTGCCTTCTAGTCAACAAAATAATGTGCCCCAAATCCCATTACCTTTTTGCCAATCTGGGAACTTGGCATATGTATTCCTTATAGCCTAAGGACGGCAACTATTGATTTAAAGCATGTCCCGACCCCCAGGGGCAGAGCTGCGCCAATTTTTGTGTTTATCGTATACAGGCTGCAATTCTGAATGGATCAGCTTTAAACTTGGCATATGTATTCCTTATAGCCGAACAACACAATTCTGAATGGATAATCTTGGAACTTGGTATACTTATTCCTTATACCCTAAGGACTGCAACTATTGATGTTGGGCCTGGTGGAAATGACTAAAAAATCTCCCAAAATATGAGCCTCCGTCATTTTCTCCAGAAATCTGTGCCAAAATCCTACACTTTTTGTTTGGTCCAGGACAACAGGTACATCCTGCCAGACTTGGAAAAACATAATTTGACATACGTATTTTTTGTTTCAAAATAACTAAAATTCATCTTCTTTTCTACTGACATAAAATAATGGCCTCATTCTGAGGAGAAAATCAATCTATATGAGTAAGGTGCAGGAATAGTGAATCAAACTAGTTTCGTTATGTCACTTATTCTTCACCACGATGATAGTCCAACGAAACCAGTTGGTATCAGGGCATACAGCTATCCAAAATGTCCCTGACAATTTTAATTATGGGCTAAATGCAGAATTATGATCATAAATGGTTGCAAACTGCAAACTTTTTAAAATCGAAACCGAAATCACCGGCCATACAATAAATAGATCACCAGCAGCGTTAACTGGTTTCTTGTCCAACTGAGGACTAAAGCCAACAAACAACGAGGATTGTTCAATGGCGCATGTACGTACATTGAGAGGACACATTTTCGGAACAGAGGGCACATTGCCACACCCCCACCCCTATACCCTAGTTGGAAATCTCACCGGATTACATAATATTCTAATACAACGGTATTTTAATATAGCAATCATTCATTTCATTTTTTATACGCCCACATTTTCATGTGGACGTATATTGTCGTCGCCCCTGTCCGTCAGTCCGTCCATCAGTCCGTCCCTCCGTCCGTCCGTCCACAATTGTTTGTGAACAGTCTACAGTCACATTTTTTATCCGATTTCAATGAAACTTAAAATATAGGTTTATCACCCTAAGATCTCGGTTCCTTTCGATATTGGCATCTATCGGACCGTAACTTCATGGATTATGGCCCCTGATTGTACGAAAAATCACGTTTTTGGCTTGTGAATACTGTAGAGGTCACAATTTTTATCTGATTTTGTTGAAACTTGAAATGTAAGTTTATAACCCAAAGATCTCGGTTCTTTTCGATATTTGGGCATATCGAATTGTAATTTCCTGAATTAAAGCCCTTGATTGTAGGAAAAATCACTTTCGTTTTAGCTTGTTTTCTATCCATCTCTCGAAAATGTGGGCGTATCCTGCCTGGCAGCCACTGGTTTAGATATGAAATATGTGTATTGGAAATTTAATAAATCTACAATCTGTTGTATATAGGCTACTTGATTTGAGCTGATATTTTTAATTCTATAAAACTGTATAGAAATTATTTGATTTATTATAATTGTATAGGTGTTGCCTTTCACTGAATAAAACAATTAATTTTCATAAATCAATACAATCTGCTGTATATGGGCTACTATGTTTGAGATGATATTTTTAATTCTATTACTTTATAGAAATTTCATGATTTAGTGTAACTAATAAATTTATTATGTGTTGCCTTTCACTGTGTGGAGCCACGGTGTCTAGGTGGTTAAGACGCTTGCTCGCTAGCCTAGAGGTCAGGTGTTCGATCCCTGCATTGGCCAAGAAAGTTCATCCAGATTTTCAGATGTGGTTTCCCCTTGTCAGTGGTGCAGAACAGAGGGCCTGACAAGGACAGCTGTCTAGTCTTTCGGATGATACAAAAAACTGAGGTCCCGTGTATATATTGGAATGCACGTAAATGATCCCCTGGCAGTTGGAATTTGATATAAGAGTAGGTCAAAATTTCCCTCATTGCACACTGTATGGCGTATGCCCGTCTTCATTAACCCAGTATAAGAGCAGAACAGTAGGACGTTAAACCCCATTTCTTTTCTTTCACTGTGTAAAACGAATTTCCTCTATGATAATATTAGGTATAACGTTACTCTTGTTTTAAAAAAAAAAGAAGTTTTATATTTATTCCACACAACCAATTAATATTCATGTTTTGGGTTAACCAAAATGGTGTCACTGGTTTCAATCGTCAAACTGGTAGAATGCCATCATGCTGTCTCCACTTCCTTAAAGCTTCTTGGAGATGATAGACCAAAGGAATTAAGAAAATACTGTATAACGAGTCCTACTCGACCATACTGCAAGGAAATGAAATGAAATTGGGTTTAACGTCCTACTGTTCTGCTCCTATACTGGGCTAATGAAGATGGGCATACGCCATACAGTGTGCTATGAGGGAAATTTTGCCCGGGCAGCGGCACTATCGCCTACTCTTATATCGAATTCCAACTGCCAAGGGATCTTTTACGTGCATTCCAATGTGTACACAGGACCTCGGTTTTTCGTCTCATCCGAAGGACTAGACAACTGTCCTTGTCAGGCCCTCCGTCCTGCATCACTGACAAGGGGAAACCACGTCGGAAAATCGGGATGAACTTTCTCGGCCAATGCAGGGATTGAACACCCGACCTCCAGGCTAGCGAGCCAGCGCCTTACCCACCTAGCCACCGTGGCTCCCTCATACTGCAAGGAAGTAGATCCCCTGATAATATAAACAAGCCAACACCATCTGTAGTACTGATGGACCCCTGTTTAATCCAGTCAAGTCCAAACCAGGAAATTATCTTAAATATTAAATAATCCATCGGAGTATATTTTATCGTGGATTTAGCAGTGAAAATTACATATATCTTTGACATTAAATAGTAAATAATTCATTGTGTGTCATTTTTCAGGGCCATTAAGGCAAAATGTTTAAATGCCTTACATCCCGATAAATATGGTCATTATCGTGAACCAAAATATTGCCAGGCCAAACATCACTGGATATGGAAGGTAAGTTAATAATATAGAGAGTGCTGGAAAACTGCTAAACAAGTCATAGACAAAACAACCAATACAAGTACACAGTACAATACACATTTGGGAAATGGCTACAATATGCAGTCGAAATTATAATGTTATTTTTAAATTGCTAAAATTTATATCAGTGCTACGGAAGTAATCAACGCTGAGTCTGACAGTAAAAACTAAAACACATAATCTTTGATGTGCTGTTAAATCAAATAATATTAGCACAGAAAATAATCTCTTAACTTTTTACACTTTTATGATCTTGGCAAACATACCAAATACTTAAAGTATATATTGGTACCTGCTTAATGTAATAACGGCCAACTTCAATAGGTACCCACCTGCTGTTTTTTCTTGCATCTTTTTTAAGTGCTTAATATGTCACCATATCATACTTAGGGTGCCCCACCATAAATAAATATCTCCCAATATCTCCAAATATTTTGACAATTATGCAACAATAAGTATATATGACAAGTCTTAACTTAAAATCTCACATTTATAGTCCCTAAATAAACGTTTGTGTTGTATTTAACAAGTTATAATCATCAATAAAAAATATAGACTGAAAAAGTTCACAAGTCAAAGCCATTACATCCGAACATTTTTTAGTGGAAAATAGGTTATAGTTCATAATAAAGCAAATTAAAAAACAAAACGAATGTAATTTTTATACGCCCACATTGAAATGTGGTCGTATATTGTCATCGCCCCTGTTCTTCCGTCCATCCGTCAGTCCGGCGTCCACAATTGGTTGTGGACGCTCTAGAGGCTAAAGTTAATATCCCATTGACTTTAAATTTATATACAGTGTTTAAGGCCATGAGACGAAGAAGCCTATTGATTTTCAGCGATTTCCGATAATTACTGCCAGAGTTATGGCCCTTGATCACTTCAAAAAATCTTGTGGACGCTCTAGAGGCCAAAGTTAATATCCGATTGACTATAAATTTATACGCAGTGTTTAAGGCCATGAGACGAAGAAGCCTATTGATTTTCAGCGATTTCCGATAATTACTAAAGTTAATATCCCATTGACTTAAAATTTATATACAGTGTTTAAGGCCATGAGACGAAGAAGCCTATTGATTTTCAGCGATTTCCGATAATTACTGCCAGAGTTATGGCCCTTGATCACTTCAAAAAATCTTGTGGACGCTCTAGAGGCCAAAGTTAATACCCTATTGACTATAAATTTATACAAAGTGTTTAAGGCCATGAGACGAAGAAGCCTATTGATTTTCAGCGATTTCCGATAATTACTAAAGTTAATATCCCATTGACTTTAAATTTATATACAGTGTTTAAGGCCATGAGACGAAGAAGCCTATTGATTTTCAGCGATTTCCGATAATTACTGCCAGAGGTATGGCCCTTGATCACTTCAAAAAATCTTGTGGACGCTCTAGAGGCCAAAGTTAATATCCGATTGACTATATCCGATTGACTTTAAATTTATGCACAGTGTTTAAGGTCATGAGACGAAGTTAATAGAGGCCAAAGTTAATATCCGATTGACTTTAAATTTATGCACAGTGTTTAAGGTCATGAGACGAAGAACCCTATTGATTTTCAGCGATTTCTGACAATTACTGCCAGAGTTATGGCCCTTGATCACTTCAAAAAATCTTGTAGACGCTCTAGAGGCCAAACTTAATATCCGATTGACTTTTAATTTATACACAGTGTTTAAGGTCATGAGACGAAGAAGCCTATTGATTTTCAGCAATTTCCGATAATTACTGCCAGAGTTATGGCCCTTGATCACTTCAAAAAATCTTGAATCTTGTGGACGCTCTAGAGGCAAAAGTTAATATCCGATTGACTTTAAATTTATACACAGTGTTTAAGGTCATGAGACGAAGAAGCCTATTGATTTTCAGCGATTTCTGATAATTACTGCCAGAGTTATGGCTCTTGATCACTTCAAAAAAATCTTGTTGACTCTCTAGAGGCCAAAGTTATTATATCCTATTGACTTTAAATTTATACACAGTGCTTAAGGTCATGAGACGAAGAATCCTATTGATTTTCAGCAATTTACGATAATTACTGCCAGAGTTATGGCCCTTGATCATTTTGAAAAATGTTGTGGACGCTCTAGAGTCTAAAGTTAATATCCGATTGACTTTAAATTTTATACACAGTGTTTAAGGTCATGAGACGAAGAAGTCTATTCATTTTCAGTGATTTTCGATAAGTCGTGTTTTAGCTTGTTGACCCTCTAGAGGTCACAATTTTTATTCGATTTTAAAAACCATTCAAATATGTCACTGTTACACCTTAAAGATGGCATAGTTTCAATATTTAAAAAATGGGACCGAAACCGTCTGACAAAATAGTGTAAAAGTATGTAATATCAAGGTTATGGAGTATGGACCCTCTAGAGGACACAGGGCCGAGAAAGTTCATCCAGATTTTCCGGCGTGGTTCTCCCTTGTCAGTGATGCAGGACGGAGGGGCTGACAAGGAAAGCTGTCTAGTCGTTCGGATGGGCGAAAACCGAGGTCCCGTGTACACATTGGCGTGCACGTAAAAGATCCCTTGGCAGTTGGAATTCGATATAAGAGTAGGCCGTAGTGCCGCTGTCCGGGCAAAATTTCCCTCATAGCACACTGTATGGCGTATGCCCGTCTTCATTAGCCCAGGTTAAGAGCAGAACAGTAGGACGTTAAACTCTATTTCATTTCATTTCATTTCTACAGTTTTTATCCAGTTTTGATGAAACTTAAAATATATGTTTATATCCCAAAGATCATGGTTCCTTTCGATATTTGAGTGTAACTTCCTGGCTTATGGCCCCTGATTGTACGTAAAATCATGCGTTTAGCTTGCGGACCCTCTAGAGTTCACAATTATTGTCCGATTTTAAACACTGTTTGAATAATATATCATCATTGCACCCTAATGATGGTTGGATTTGAATTTCGGACCGAAACTGCCCGACAAAATGTCTTAAACTGGATGAAACTTAAAATATATGTTTATATCCCAAAGATCTCAAAATGGATGAAACTTAAAATATATGTTTATATCCCAAAGATCTCAATTCCTATCAATATTCATGCATATGAGATGGTAAATTCCTGGATTATTGCACCTGATTATATGAAAAATCACAGTTTTGGCTTGTGCACCCACTAGAAACCAAAATTTTTCATCCGATTTTAAAAACTGTTTAAATATATCACCGTTGCATCCTCTAGAGGGCACAATTTTTATATGCCCATATTTTCACGTGGATGTACATGTATATTGTGGTCACCCCTGTCCATCACTTGTGGTCACTCTAGAGGTCGCTATTTTTATCCGATTTAAAATATATGTTTATGTCCTAAAGATTTGGGTTCCTTTTGATATTCGTACATATCAGACCTAATTAACTTTCTGCATTATGGCCCCCGATTGTACGACAAATCGCTTTTTTTTTTTGTCCCCCGCCTTTCGAAGAAAGCAGGGGACTATTAAAATGGGTTCGTCCGTCTGTCTGTCCGTCTGTCTGTCTGTCTGTCTGTCTGTCTGTCCGTCTGTCTGTCTGTCTGTCCGTCCGTCTGTCTGTCCGTCACACTTTTTGGGACACAATAACTCTCTTCCTAATTGAGCTAGAATGTTCAAACTTGGTGTATGTGTTTATTAGGTCAATGCCTTGATGGAGTTCGAAGATGAGCATTTTCCGCTTAGGGTAAGCAGAGATAAGTAAAGATATACTGTTTCATTGTTCAATACTTTGTAAAAGATAATTTGTGATAAATTTATATGTGTCCTCTAATTATTTTCCTATTTCGGCGGGGGACATCAGCCTCACTGTTGGCTTGTTTAGCTTGTTCTCTGTCCTTCTCTTGCAAAATGTGGACATATTTTGCATGGTAACTGCTTGTTTGTGATTGAAAAGATTAAATTGTAGACAGTTTCGAAAGTTTATTGTCACCAGTATAATCAAATCAGAAAATCAATGCGTTAATATAACTGCCAGCTGTGTACATATAATGGAACAATAAACTTCTGGCAGATTATTTAATATGAAAATGTATATATTTTGATTTTTTTAATGATTTTAACTTGCCTGATTCTTACTTACTTTTAACATGAAAAACTTTACACAGGCTTGTGTTAAGATAGAAATATGTCACATGTAATTCATTTTCCTTAAAGAATTGCAGACATCATAGGCATTAAGCTTTATAACTGACAGAGAGCTGGACTTTTGCACGGCTTTTTATACTCCGACACGAAAATGTTGTTGAGTGTAGAAATAAAAATGACCTTATGTTTATTTAAAAATGATTGAAGTATTGTATTGAAGAGACATTATTTAACCCCATTCCATTGAAATATTAATACAATTAGAATTGTTGTTTTATATTTGTTTGGGGGGTTGGATGGCCGAATGGTTAGCACGTGCGCTCTGTATCATAAAGCCTGTCATTGAGTCAACTGACATGGTTTCAAATCCCCGGTTGTACGTGACAAGGAGTAGCCTAGGGTCGCCTGTCCATCCTCGTGGGTTTTCTCCGAGTCCTCCGGTTTCCTCCCAATGCTAAAGACCCCTACACGCAAGCGAATTATTGAAATAAAATTAAACCATATGTTAGTCCCGAAATGACCTAGTTTGTGTCGAGTGGATGTTCAACCCCATTTCTCTCTCTCTCTCTCTTATATTTGTTTAGATATGTATATGTTTTCCTTCTAAAACTTACTCGACACACATAAATACAGATGATATAAATAGAATAGATTCAAATGCTTGATAACGTTGAGAGAATACTCTACGAAACGTCGCCTTAAATACACTAGTAGCTGTTTTCCATAAGTATGTGTTTTGTTGTTACTCTATCCAGTTACTAAATGCCATTTAAAGAACAGATTCAAATGAGTTGTATTGTTCATGAGGTAACCTAAACCAGTATATCCAACTAAATCATTACATTATCAATTGACATTACGTGGATACTGATTGGCCAAAACGTGACATTGAATGAGTATAACTGTCCTGTAGATTTCATGTGACTACTCTTTAAGTGAACAATAACAACAGGGATTTTGTGTTTAAAAACCTACAGAAGTTGAATGATTAGAAATTGGTCTGTCCCACATCAAATGTACTGGAGCAGAAACATGATTATTTATCATCACATACCACACATGTCAGGACTGACTTAAAAGTTCTAAGCCTATCTGTGAAAGACCTATACAAAGTAAATGGTTTCTTATGTCTATCATGACTCATTCAATGATTGTACTTGTTGGTGGCAAAAGTTTGTTTTGACCCAATTGATCTATCCTTTTCAGACTTAGAACTTTACAGCCAGCCCTTACTTGTATGTTGTAAGCTTGCATTTAGGAGAATTGGTTTCTGCCTGAAATTACATTATTTTTGTCCAAAACATTCCTTAATTGATCCTTTGCCAGAATTATTTTTTCAATCTGCCAAAATTTCAAACTGTCGTTTACTAGTTTCTTGTAATTTGTATTACTCATATATACATAGGGTAGGAAAAGTACCAAACTGAGTATAGAAATAAGCCATAATTTATACACTTTCTGCGTTTTTATTCATATTTTTGATACATTATGGCACAAAGTTGAAAATATCAGGCTCAACTTTAAAAGTTCCTCACCTTTTGTAAGTTACAGTCAAAGTTTGTAATGGAAAATTATTTTATTTTTCAGTTAAATCATGTGTTTGAGAAGATAAAAGTATTAGATGAATATCAAGGAATGGTTTTATTATTAGAAGAAGATTATTATGTAACAGAAGATGTTTTAACTATTCTACAAATGCTTCAAAATATACAAAAACGGTAAGTTGAAGTATTTATAAAAAACATAATCTTATATTTATATTAATCTGGGTGAAAGCTGTTGTTTATCGTATAAATCTGGATGAACTTTCATAAAAAAAAAAGTAATCTTTTACATGTACAGTGGACTCTGTTAAGTCCAGCGTCTGAATACTACGGCATTCTGTGCAAGATTTTAATGTATGAAAAAGATAACAGAAGTATTAATGCTAGTTTTATCCAAGACGGGGTCACAGTGGCTAAGTGGTAAGATGTTGGCTCACTAGCCTTGAGGTCGGGTGTTCGATCCCAGCATTGGCCGAGAAAGTACATCCAGATTTTCATGTGATGCAGGACGGAGGGCCTGACAAGGACATCTGTCTAGTCGTTCGGATGGGACGAAAAACCGAGGTCCAGTGTACACATTGGCGTGCACGTAAAAGATCCCTTGGCAGTTGGAATTCGATATAAGAGTAGGCCGTAGCGCCGCTGTCAGGGCAAAATTTCCCTCGTAGCACATGGATGGCATATGCCCGTCTTCATTAGCCCAGTTTAGGAGTAGAACAGTAGGACGTTAAACCCCGTTTCATTTCATTTCATTTATCCAAGACACACAAAGATGGCAGTATGTAATCAACAGAAACCAGTGATCTTTTTTTAATAAATGTAATTTTGATTGTGTGAGGTAAATGTTGAGGTGTAGAGTATTGGCCGAGAAAGTTCATCAGGATTTACCAACATGGTTTCCCCTTGTCAGTGGTGCAAGACGGAGATCCTGACAAGGACAATTATTGTCTTGTCATTCGGATCGAACGAAAAAAACAAGGTCCTGTGTATAAATTTGTGTGCACGTAAAAGATCCCTTGGCAGTTGGAATTTGATATAAGAGTAGACCATAGTGCCGCTGCATGGGCAAAATTACCCTCATTGCACACTGTATGGCGTATGCTCGTCTTCATTAGCCCAGTAGGAATATGACGTTAAACCCCATTTCATTTCATTTCAATTTTGAGGTTTTAAATATGCACATGATTTATATTTATATTTGATTTAATTGAATAATTTGAGATCAAAAACCTGGAAGGTTTATTCAAGTGTTTATTCTTTTATTATATTTGTTCAGTATTGTTTAAATATGACGTGCTTTTATAATATTACAATTTGTTGATCAATGTATTTGCCTTAGTCTGGTCTCTTGTTTGTCTTTTACACAATTTGTTTTGACTGTTCAAATAAAACAAGCACTCAAAACTGTCTGTACTATTGTTTTACTCTGATCGTCAAGGTGTCTGATAATAAAAACATTTTCTGTATTGTTTCGATATTCTGTAAAATGTAGGTTAATGGTCACACAATATAATGCAGATCAAAACTCAATAAATCCTTGATTTGAAATTTCTGAAAAGCTCTATTATTTTAAGTTTGGAAATCTTTTAAACAAAACCAAGTTCACAAGACGCAAGTGGCTATTTATTTATTATGATCCCAAACACATAAAAGTTTTACAGAATGTGAGTGAGGTCTTTATACATTTGAATTATTACCACAAACCAAAAACTCTTGAAAATGTATTATATTTACTTGCTGTGGAGTAGGTGAGACAATAATGTGGGAGGAAATTTGATATTAGGTATCACTGGTAGTAAGGGAAATAACTCCATGTTTCAAAATGAATGGATCTTTAGCATCTGTAAAGCACATGTAGAGAATACGTGATTCAACATTATGGAATTGAATTATCTGAATCCAAAGAAATGTGTCAGTTGAGTAAATATGAAAATTCAAAGCTTCAAGTTATGTATCATCTTATACTATCTCTCCCAATTAAGTTGCCTGTCAAGTAAACTTTAAACCCCATTTCTCTCTCTCTCTCTCTCTTTCTCTCTCTCCAAAAGTCCATTTGTGAGAATAATAGATATGAAGTAATTTTCATATGTATATTTTATATATTTCAGTGATTGTAAAGATTGTCAGATGTTAGTCATTGGGAATTATGATAAAGTTCAAAATTATCAACTTAACTCAGGAAAAGTAAGTTCTGGTACATGTACCACAATTCTCAAATTACAATTTAATTAATTTAATCTACACAGGATTTATATTGGGCAAAGAATACTTCAGATAAAGTTGTAGATTCTTCTATTGTTGGTTTTCGAGGAATAGATGTCTTTAATCATGACTCAAAGATTGAGCTTTTCATCCTATGCTGTCTAATGGTGGCACCCTAATTCCATTGAAATGTGCTACATAGTGAAAGGATGGCTTCGTCTTAAAGGTGCTCTCCCTGTATGTACAGATCTAAGAGGTGGAAGGGGACAAGGTACCAACCTAAAAATATTGAAGTGCACGTTTTATCCAGCCATATAAACAATAAAAATATTGAAAGGAAGAAATGAAATAAGATTTACCACGAGTTTCTCAATATCTGTGTAGATGTTGGATAATATGTGAATATCTTCACAGAGTTTGGGTGATGAGTACTGTCTGCTTAAATTAAGCGGAGATAAGCAACTTGATTGGCCATGACTTTTGAACACAATAACTCCATATTGAGCATTTTCTGTTCAGGTTAAGCAGAGAGATAAGCAGTTTGATTGTTAGATGCTTTATAGAAAGGTAAATGTACAAGTAATTGGTACATGTATGTGTAATCTGTTTATTTTAGGATTATTAAACTTTATTTCAGGTGGAGAAATCATTTTGGATTTCTTCTAAGCACAACATGGGAATGGTTTTTACCAGAAAACTGTGGGATCAAATAAAAAAATGTCAAAAGGTTTGTTCTTGAACCTATTAACTATGAATATTTTTACACATTTGAATTGAATACGTTTTTAGTGTATCGACCATTCTGTAGGAAAATAGCTATAACCCATGAAATATTGAATTAGATGTCCAAAAGTATATACTAGCATAATTTTTCCTTTATAATGGATTAGTAAATTTTTTGACATTTCAAAGAGTTTAGATCACTAAAGTCCAGTCTCTGCAGGTCTCTGGCAGATAATTCTAAAAGAATCAACAGTAGAGGGTAAAATATTACATATGTTTCAGGAATAAAAAACACTGCCCACTAAGATAGCATGATTACCACCTGCTGAGTGGACAATCTATGCTGGGCTCTAAAAGTACAAGTAGTGAATATATGATTTACTTAACGCTGAGGGGGTTGGGATGGGCTAGTGGTCTAGAGTGTCACGTTTCGACCTCTAGCTAGCCGGTCACCTCTGGCTTGCGGTTGTGGTTTCGATCCCTGGTGTGAGCGTATGTGGCTTGGAGATAGGGGCGCCTTCTCAACCTCGTGGGTTTACTCCGAGTACTCTGGTTTCCTCCCACAGGAAAGACCCCTGAGCGTGGGCTGAGATAATAAAAATGAAAAAAAAAGACAACTTGTCTGCGATATCACCTTGGGTGGAAGTGGACGTTAAACACTGAGAGCTGTATGAACCATAGGTTTTTCTTAAACTATATTTGTGAAATATTAAGAATCAAATTATTATATCAGATTCCTGTTGTTCAAAGCTCACATAAGATCTAAAAATTCCTAAATCAGTTTCTAATATGTTTCTATGTTCCAGGAATTTTGTTACCTTGAGGATAATAAATCAGTTTCTAATATGTTTCTATTTTCCAGGAATTTTGTTACCATGATGATTATAATTGGGACTGGACTATTCAGCATCTTAGTATGAAATGTATACCTGGAAGAATTCAGTGTTTACGACTAAAAGCTACTAGAATATTTCACATAGGAGAATGGTAAGTAGAATTGTTATAGCATGATAATAACAAGGCATCATTATGAAAGTGATATGTTTTAATGATAGGTTGTTGTGGATAATGTATTTCTGATGGTAGTGAAAGCTCAAACTGATCGACAGATCACTGAAAGGCATGCACATTCGTTTTTGAACCTAATACATCTTGACTACACCCATATCAATCTTATACTCACATTGTGACTGGTTGCACATGAAGTGCATGCATACACTATTCAGATTGTATTATGGTGCTCTAAAAGCTCAAACTCGAATATGTGTTAGTATTAGTATTGGTCAGAGCCTAGTGATGATCTAGTCACTGTGTTCTTCTGACAAACAACCAGTATAGTTTTAGGCATATTGGCGATTTGACATGACAATATTTAAGCACTTCTTCACAATGTAAGCTCGGAATGTAATTCGGGGAATTTTTGTCATCCGAATGAAGTAAATTGCTATATTCTCTTGATTCCAGTGCCATGCAATGAGGGGGGGGTATGGTGGCCCCCAGCACCCATTTCAAGGTGGCATCCAATCGAAGAGTGAAAATAAAATTTGAAATTATCAGTTCATTGTACAAGCTGCCTTACATAATTTAAGTTGGCTCTGGACATTCCTAAACCGATGCATGGCACTGTTTGATTCTGTGTTCATACCCCAATAGTGATATATCTTCTGTTTTTCTTTCAGTGGTATTCATCATAAAGGGAAAAGTTGTAACCCAGGAGAAAAAATTAAAAAGACAGAGGACTTATTGTTTAAAAATAAAAATCACATGTTTCCTAATATATTATCAGTGGTCGGTCAGTCACGATTTAAATTAAGGGATCCAAAAGCCAATGGAGGCTGGGGTGATGTGAGAGATCAAGAACTATGTTTGAAATTTTTTAATACCACAGCTAGCTGATCAATAATTTAGTTATTTTAACTCGTGACAAGTATTTTGTGTACCAAAACCTGCATGTGAAACAATTACTGGCAAGGTTATCTGTACCACTTGTGGTGTGCCTATATCTAAACTTTGGGGTTTTATCCGTTAATAATAAATAGTTGCAGCTTTGGTAAAGAAGATGATTTTGCTTTAATACATATTTAACTTAGTACTGATATTGAAAATGTGATGTCCCTTTAATTTTCTGTAGTAACATATTAAGTTAGCCACCCCCAAGAAGAAAGCAAACATTGTCTGCAGCATAAAATTACAGTCATTGAACAAGTATCGTCTGAAATATGAAAGGACTGATGCAACCTGGGATAGGTTGATATTTAAAAGTTTCAACTGAAGAATAAAAATGTGAGGAGATTTCTACGATATGGACATATTAGCACTTTTGCTAATAATATATACATAGTATTCTAATTTTGACATGCTTTAAACCCACTATGAGCACACCAGTTGTTCAATCGCTTTTGTTAGCAATTTATATTTAGAAATAAAGTCATTCTAGAATAGAAAAGGAAGTTTAATCAAGGTATAAAATAATTATAGATAGATAATCAATGGCTGCTAACGCCTGTGTTTTAGTGCTTTATTGTCTCCTTGGCAACAAAAGTAGCCGAGTAACATGGTTTATAAAACCTGGACGGAGGCTTTAATATTTGACACTGTGTATGATAAATAGTCTTAAGATATGTTTGAAAAATTCCTTGTTTTTTTCAGGGAATTTTGACTTTGACTCTTATTTACTGTTCATGAAAACTTAATCAATTCTTCTAGGAATTTTTCAATTTCTTTAATAGAAAGTTGATTTATTTTACTTAAAAAGTGATAAGAATTGTAAGTATATTTGGTTGCTTGGTAAATTGTGCATTTATATGTGGAGTGAAGCAGTTGTGGAAATTGCAATCTTCTGGGCAATCCTCAACAGTGTTTAATTGAGGTTTTGTTATATATTTTATTTACAATGTATTTGAAAATGAATGAAAATAACTGGATTATTATAGGTTGCCTTACTGTTTTTAAGTATTACATGTTGATGAACAATCAACAAAAAGAAGAAGAATAAATGTTTTTAAGCACAAAATAAAGAACAAATTGTAAGAGAATAATTATTATTAAAAAAGAATTCATTATATACCCATGTACTGGTACGTACATGCCCTTGTTTATATTATATATAAAGAAAAAAGTATTAATAATAATGAGTATTTAACTAACAGATTTTTTATATTGATAAACAATTTATTTATATGTTTTAAGCAGAAATTATTAATAGACTGAAAAATGAATGGTCATGTGCCCTGTTTTACCAGATTTTATTGCCCATTCTCATTGATGTTATAAGACAATAGACAGAATAATTTGCTTCAGAGCTGAATATTCAAAATGTCTGCCATTGGAATTATACTATAGATTATTTCTACTGCAAGAGACAGCCTGGAACATGTATGCAAATATATACTGATACTAGTTTTACATACATTCTCAACTTCTGACATCCTCAAATAGAAATTTATTATCCATGTTCACTTCTGCTTCATTGAGAAATACAGGGAAATGCCAAGTTAGTACTTGTGTTACTATTTATAGGTACATGTACACTGTATTGATTCAATCAACAGATTAAAATTTGTCCTGATCATCCAATGTACACAATCATAATGTAATCTGAAAGACTGGACTTATGGGTATTGATATGTTAAACAGTTGATAATGTAGTATGAATCTGATATATGTATAATCTTAAGAATACATGTTCCTGGCTGTCAACATCGTGATCATTTGTATGTTGGTATATTTGAACATGTGGAATGTGGGTTTATACATTGATATGTCATTCATTTAATTTCACTGATGTAAATCACTATTTAAATTTGTATTGTAAATCCTTAACTCATTGATTGGGGTTACACTAAAATAGAACATATCAGCTTTATTGAATCTTACTTCGCAAAAGCAGACCATCAAAATGTTTGTTTTTTTTAAATACATCTATCTGTATTATATACCTGTAGAACTGAAATAATTTGAACAAAAGGTTCTAGCAAGCGCCTTCTCATAAAATATTCTTTAATTAGTCAAGAAAAAAAAATGTGAGCTTTGATCAGTTTGTCGTTATTTAGATTAGATTGTATATAGACATAGTTTATGTAATGATAATGTGCCAAAATGTTGTTAATGATAAAATTTGTTATAAATGATCTACTGAAAATCTCTGCTTCCTCAACCAGACATTGGCTACTCTGGAAGCATGCCATGGATTCAATCTTCTGCTATAGATTGGCTTCAGTCCACCGATTAACAAAAGATCATTTGTATGATATCTATTTTTGCACTAAATTATAAAAATTGTGTTAGTTTAGTTTTTAACATTGAATATAGATCGTTTTATGTGTTTATAAATACAATCATGTTGTCGTCTCAGTAATCTTAATAGAAACTCTAATTGAAAACACAACATATCATCTCTGCCACAAACATTCAAACTAAGTAACTGTTCAAATTTGATCTGTTTATTCTGTTGGCTTGAGTATGATGAAAATAGGCAAGCTGTGAAAATTTGAGTGTATTAACCATAAATACTGGATGTACCTCACCTAAAAGCAGGGAGGAGTCAAACCTATAAATATTGTTACAAGTCGATGTGCTCTCATACTGGGGGAGGGGGGTTTAGTGTCCATCTGATTGAACATGTGCAGTTATTAGATCATAGGGTCTGTCGTTGAGTCAAGTGGCGTGGTTTCTAGTTGGGTCCCCGGTTGAACCGTGTGGGTTTTCTACAGGTCCTCCCACAGCTAAAGGCCCTTACATGCAATCAAATTATTGAAATAAAATTGAACCATGTGTTAGTCTCAAAATGACCTTGTTTGTGTTGAGTGGATGTTACACCCTCTCTCTCTCTCTCTCTCTCACACTCTCCTTCACTGGTAATCAATTTTCAGAAGTTTTCTGGTAACCAACTGACCAATTGAAGATGTCTCGTGTTAATTATATATTATGGCACTGTTCTTTACATATGCACTTGACTTGGGCCACATCATTTTATATTTTAGTTGTTTGGGATTAATTATGAAAATTTCACTATTTCTTTGAAACAAATTATTTACTCTAAATTTTAAAGTTCTGGAAATTAAGAAAAAAAACCAAAACAGGCATCCCCAATTATCTAGATTCTGAAGAAATAGAAATCAAATTGGTTTGGCCTTATCTACAGTTTTACCTAAATACTATTTGGAGATGTATATATGTAGTTCAGTTTTATATTTCAAACAATTTTAAATAATGAAAGAAAAAGCATTTTAGTAGACTTCGTTCCAAATGCTCTATATTTAGCTGTGAGTCTTAAGATTGTGATTTTAAATTGTTTAGCTATTTGTTATTTTAGAATTACAATAGTGGAAAGTCTTCAATTATTTGATATCATAAAGTAAATAAAGTATGACTTCAGCTGTAAGTATAAAACCTTACTTCAAGTAAAGAAGTATTGGCATTATATTGATAACGTTTACACTCTAGTCATCAGATACAATGTACAAAAAATTTATAGAAACGGTATTGTTTTTCTGTTCTTGTTTAGGACCCCAACCTTAAATTCTTGCCCTAAAATAATTTGATTGGGGCTCAGAAATCCTTATATTTTAAATGTGTTTGTGTTTTGTATACATCTTTCTGTTTACATCTGTATTTATTTTTTAATTGTTTTTTTTAAATACTGTAATTAACAACATCCCAAAACTTACAATTTTAAACAAAATTTGGAACAAATAATTGTTGTTTTTGATTAAAATAAATAAAACTACTAAACTGGGAATTTCTTAATTTTTTTATGTGCCCCCATATCGCCGCGGACTTATATGTTGTCAACCATGTCCTTCCCTCCGTCAATAATTGACTTGTTAATGCGATAGAGGCTACAGTTTTGGTGTAAAGTGTTGGGTTCAACCTTGTAATAGGGTTGTACTTTTTTGTAACTGCAGTCTCTTGTTTATAACCTGTTTTGAACACATTTATTCTTCAATCTCCTCAGATTGAGTTGTTATAAAGAGGCTAAGTAATAGTTACAATACATACATGACACAAGCTGTTCTTACAACTAATATTTGACATAGTCTATTGTCTAAACATTGGTTGTAATAGTCAAATTCCCAAACTAATGGTATTGTAGTTGGAAATTTCCAGTGTGTAAAATAATGCCTTATCCTTCCCAAACTGATAGTTACATTTACTAGCATTATTCCATTGAGATTCTTACTTAAACCTGCATCAGGAGTCTGAACTATGGCTAGAGCACCAATTACAATCTGTTTCACAGAGGTAATGCAAAGGCCTTCTTTTAACCCTGTGTTAGTCCATGTGCATTATAGGTCTATAAAATCACATTTTTAGGTTACTATTTTTATCCGATTTTGATGAAACTTAAAATGTTTGTTTATAACCCAAAGATCTTGGTTTCTTTGGCACATATCGGAGCGTAACTTACTAGATGACAGGTATGGCCCCTGATTGTATGAAAAATTGTGTTATTAGCTTGTGGACCCTCTAGAGGTCACAATTTGTATGTGATGTTAAAAGGCCAATCTCAATTATATTTTGGAGAATAAAACTGCTTAGTTTTGTGTAAAAGCCCTTAAAATCCTCTACCTTAGGGCCGAGCAACTAACTCAATATACGTGATACATTTTCAAACAACTTAAACCTGTCAGTCTTCATCTGGAAATGGAGACCTGTGTCCTAAACTGTATTATAGGGTGTCTGGGTAAAACCAGATTTTTATTTTATAAAAATAATGTGTAGGTGAAATTTACTTTTCGTTATCAAGTACAACATGTTGGTCATGCACTGTATAGACCTCTAAAGGAACGGAAATAGATTATCAGGTCAACCAACTTAAAAGGGTTACTGTCCGGATAAGCAGTTCCGATGTGAACGTCCAAATGACTCAATATTTTGAGACAAGGTAAATACACCTTTCCTCTATATTTTGACGCTTAAATTGTACACAGACTTTTATTTCTGATACTCTATTAAAATCGAGATGGTACTTTTAAAAAACGTTCAAATATATCACTGTTACACCATAATGACGGTTGAGTGCGAATATCGTGAAAATGGCCTCTTCCGTATGCAAATAGTGTAAAAGTACGTAACACAAAGGTTGTGGACCTGGCCTCTTGAGGTCACAATTTTTACCCAGTTTTGATGAAATAATATGTACAATGTGAATACTGGCATATGAAATGCAGTTTGCTTTGTGTTCTATGAGGGAAATATGCAAGCCTATTCTTATTTTGATCTTGATTGTTGTCCCATACGAATGACTAGACACTGTATCTCACCAGCCCTCAGTCCTGCACCACTGACATGGGGGAAACAATGCCAGAAAATACTAATGAACTTTCTCGGCCAACACCATGTTCCTGAAGCAACGACTGCGAGTTTCACAACATCTGGTAGTTGCTTGTTTACTTCACAATTCCTGAACTTATAGCTATGTTATCTACAGACACGTGAGCAGTAGCGTCCAATCAGAGGTTGTGACATGGTGACTTCCACTAAAACCTTGACATTGAATGAACCTTGAACTTTACAACTCGATTTTCACAAGTAGACATGTTAGCTTGAAAGCGCGAGACTTGGTATTCGCAACGATCAAGGAATCTGATCACAAGTTGGGCTTGTACCCAATCGAAATTAGTGCTGAAATATGCAGGGTATTACGTGAAGGCCTTGATAAGATGTACGTAGTTAAAGCGAGATCAAGCCTTCTATTGAAGATTGGCCAACACCAACACTATTCTGATTTGTGGTGTTAAATAAGATAAGGTAAAAACTAATGGGTATAATGATAAATTTAATATCTTTTCTAGAATATAATATAATATATATATATATATATTTCATACATACATATATAGTACTCTACTTAAAGTCACATTAGACTATGTTTGGTGATAATTAATCATGTGACAGGTATCAACCAATCAAAAACAATAACAATCAGATATATATTATTTATATATGGGTGACAATAAATTAGAAAATGTATTTAATTATCTATGGAAACAACAAATAAGGGAATAATTTCTGGTTTAATCACTTGGCTGTCAACTATACCTGCTATTAATATACAAAAATTTACCTGTGGCAATACCACATAGGAGTACTAACTTCAAGAGGTTTTAAAGTAGTGTTTCCAGAGAATATTCATGAAAACTAATGTCACTTAAAATTGAATGTACCAATAATTTAAGTCAGATGAATAGTTAATGTGATTTGCATTCTTAAAATTTATATTTTAAGTTACAATCAATTGTAATAGATTTAAGTTTTCATGAAGGAGGGAAAACCTAATCAAAACTATTTGAAGGATGCAGCCTTTTCATTGGCCAAGTGTTAAAATCCTAGTATACATGTTATCTCTAAGCCAATGAAAAGGCTACATTCCTAAAATCAAGAACAAGAGACTGATCATATGTTGTCCCACAATCTATCTGTTATTTTTTCTCATTTAGGTTTAATTTTAAAAGTTGCCAAATTGTACAGTTAGGTTTTTTATTACAGAAAATAAATATCAATTATCAAAAGTTCAACTTCTTTGATCCTTAAACTTTTATTACTTTTCCCGACCTGCTCGATTTTGGTAAGAAATAAATGTATACTAAAAACTGGTTAAAAGTAATATTATATTCCATAATGATATGTTACACTAATAATAGCCAGTATATTCAACCCCAATAACCCTATCTCTTTTCTATTGTGATTTATCTTTGTAGACTTCATGATTGTCGTTTAGTAAAAGGAAAAATATCCTTTATTTCTAAGCATATTTTATTTATACTGTATGAATTACCATTAGTAAAATTTAAGTAAAGGATTCCGAAAATGTATTCTTTTCCTTTAAATCCCACAGATTAGTTAAATTTGATAGTTTCAAACTCAACAAACAATCTATAATTTATCTCCCTTTAGTCTTCAAGGATAATTCAATATAAAAATTAGATTATGTACTTGTCTTTTCTAATCACATATAAATTAACCAACAAAATATTTAACTATTTAAAGATGAAACATCTGATTTTAAGGCCATTCGTCTCAAGCATTTAATGGATCTCTCAATATAAAATCTTTAATTCACATCTAAATTTAGCAATAACCTGACAAAAATTATCATTTACTTAATAAAACTGAGAATCCTTGCAAAAATATTGCAATTAATAATGTTTTTGTGTTTAAAAATTCCACATCGGTATTAATGTTGATTAATCTTTTACTTTAAGGAAGGATTCATTGCAATTTAATGAAAATTAATGTGTTTTGGGTGTTAAATTTCAAGTTTTGACTTAACATTTTAAATAAAGGATGTATTTCAAATTTTATTGGTTATATATTTGAGGTTTTTTTTTAAATGGATAAAGTTACCTACTTTTATTCCAATACTAATAATAAACACATACAAATATAATATTATATAATAAATCATAACCAAACAAAGTAGTCAAATAAAATAATTAAATAATCACTTTCTATACTTGACATCTATTGTCAAAATAATATTCAAATTTCACTCACACACAAATAACAACAAAAATCACATGTTTTTCAAACAATATGGTGTCTTCATAAATTAGAAGTGGTAACTCCAAAGTTAAAATAAAGGGAGGAAATCTTTATTAACTGCACTGTGGAACTTGTATTCTTTTGACTTTTGAAAACTGACTCCTGTTCTGTAAATTTTGATATGAAATGGTGTTTCACGTCCTACTTTTTTGCACCCACAGTGCTAATGAAGGCAGATTCGACTATTGAAAAACCACATTTATTAATCCAGTAATAAAATAATTCACGACGACAATAACCAAGATATATCTCCATCAAATAAAAACAATTTACAAATGACAAGCCATTTCAGAGAATATTTCAGCCAATATACATGAGCACAATTTCAATATGTCAAACAAAGCAATAAGTTTAGACTGCAAAGGGTTAACCAAATTACTATTTCAATTAATAGTGTCTAACAGGAGATTCCACTCCCTAAATTTATACTGTCAGAGAATACTTTATATGCAGACAAATGGAGTTAGAGAAAATGGATGACAATTTAGATATTAAGATGAAATATCTACCAGATAAATCTAAAGATGGAAATGTTTTTACTAATAAAAGGAAAATTTTGCAAACAAAAATAATAAATAAATATTGCTAAAAAGTTAAATAACAAAATAATGGCAAAGCTGAAATAAATAAGACCAAATTAATTAACATATTTGGTTACTTTAAGATTTCTTCACGAACATGCCTCTCAAACAAAAAATTGCCGAAACTAAAGGAGAATATGGCTGAATTTAAAAGAGAAATAAAAAAATAACTCCAAAAAAATATGGAAACAATGACACATGTAGAAAGACAATATATAAATATCTATTTACAAGTTCTCTTGAAGCAAATCATTATATCAAAATTTAAATGCCAAAATTATTGCCCTAATACCTTCAAGGAGTTTGTTAATATTTGCATAAATAATGCAAGAATTGATCAAATTCAATTTTATTATTTGGAAATTTAATATATTATACGAAATTTCATATTCCAAAAATTAACTGCAGATTTTATATCATATCGTAATCATTTTCAAATTTTGTGAAAACCTGTTCCTTTTCACTCAAGTGTTTCATTAATTTAATTGAAACCAATTTTATCATAAATACTTCAAACTACATGTAAATGCATATTTTACTGAATGATTATAACAAGGACTTAGCAAAAATATTATCTGCAATAATTGGAAGAACAATTTCTATAAAGATATATTTTCTCTCCTAGAAAAGAGAAGTACTAAGATATTTAGATTACATTTTTATTTTGTTTGTTTTGATTTTTAACTACATTTTAATCTAACCAACTTTCAATCAACAACTTGATCAGCCAATTAGTGTAATCATTGTGGGCTATTTATAGTCAATCAATAAGATGGGTGTAATGCACCATGATTCAATCCATGAATATGGAGACATTGAACAATGTGTTACACAATATATTAAAGATGCATTATGCAAGATTTAGATAAAGAGCCAACTGTTCTGGCTATAATAGTTCAGAAAAAGATAATGAAATATAAACATATTGAAAAAAGTCAGTCAAATTACTATATTCTGAGCAAAGTTTTGAGTGTTTGAACTTTAATCAGCTATTTATTGTCAAAACTTCAAACGGATTGTCATGTACCATTACCATGATAATAACAATGCCTCAATGACAGCCATTTAAATGTTATGGCGTGAATGGTCTAATACATTCAATATATTGGACTATGGACTATCCATTGATTATGGACTATCCATACAATAAGTTGTATAACATTTGAAGTCAGAAATTAGCTTCTGCACAATGCAGCTTAAAAGAACAACAAATAAAGATTTTATAAAGTATAGGTTTGATTTGTTTATATGGAGGTCAATGTTGTTGTTTACTTTGGCTTTCATATCCCAAAATCTCCTGCAAAAATTGAGTTCCAGATACCACTACAGATAATTTGATTGGCCAGTTAAGTCAGATGATCAGAACGCCAACTTCAAAGGAAATATGTCAGTTGTTAATGCAGTACAACGAAAATAGATGAATATTTTTAGGAAATATTTCTAGCTAAAATGATAAAAATCTAAACTAAATTCAAGTTTATATCAAAAGTACAAATCTTAAAAAATGTGAAGCTTAGAGTATATTTGATGAAGAATGGGGTGCTTCAAGGTTATCATTCATGTGGCAGTATCTTTAACATGAAAATTCTATATTATATATTTGTTAAAACAAAGCTAAGTTAACTAAATGCATTTAAAGTTCACATTTTCACTGCATTATGGCCAAACCAATTCAATCTTTAGTTCTATGGGAAGTTGATCATTCTTTAATTTTCAAAAATTTAAAATATGGAGGCAAGTATTTTGAAAGGAGTAAGAATTTTCAACAAAACCATTTCAAAGAAATAGAAAGCATGGAGAACTAAAATTTAAATTGATGTGGCCTAAAATATATTTAAACAAGGACTACTTAAAAACAATTAAATCATTTATAATTTTAATATATGTACACGATTTCTTTTCAAATTCTACTTCTTTCTTGTTAATGAGATCCTTTTCAAAATTATAATTAGTTTCTTTTTAATCAAATATTAAAGTATTTGCAGAGTTTCTCTTGAAAACATTTGTGATCACTCGTATATATATTTTTTGTCGTTGAAATAAATTACATCTTAAATTCTCTATACTTCACAACAGTAATTACAACTAAAGATATCCAATCAGAGATGACCCCCCATTGCGCTAGATTAATATGCTTGGTTCCGTTAAATAAAATAAACATTAGCACAAAAAGAGAAAATGCCTCTTCCTGTGTTCGAAAACTCCTTAATATATATAGGACGAATCTTATCTAGTTTGGGCCTCTTCCTAATAATATATCATAAAGCTATGACCCTAGAAAATTCTACACCAGATTTTATCTGTTCTTTTAAATTTTTCTTGTGCCATCGTTAATTCGGATATAGAAATAATAATATTGCGATTTTGCTCAGCAAATTACCTCGGCAGCTTGACTATCTTGTGTGAACATAAGCAACCCAGAATAAAACATGAATCAACTAAATCTTTGATGGTACGATACAAGATATCAATACAAAGCTGTGGTAAATGAATAGGATAAATTCCACGGCAGAAAGCATTACAGGCAGCCACAAGACTGAAGCATGCCCTGAGAAATACTTTACAAATTGTCTTTTATTCCTGATCACTTTCACCATCGCTAGAAAATCTTCCCTGGGACAAAGCGTTAGGTGATGTCATAACGTGAGTTAGTTGCCTATAATGATCTAACCATTCATCAACCATCTGTTTCACTAATAGAGGGCGCTTATCTAATTTCTGTACTGCTGCTAAAATACCACCTTTTGTAACAACACAATCTAACCAGTCTCTTAATATAGCTTCTTCACGACCAACCTATAAAATATGGTAAGCATTTAAACATTTTCATTACGCAACAAATCAAATGGGGTTTAATGACCTACTATGCTGCTCCATTCGAGCTAATGAGTGTGCAATGAGCGAAATTTTGCCCAGACAGTGGCAATATGGTCTACTCTTATTTCGAATTCCAACCGTCACCGATTCTTTTACGTGCACCCCAATGTGTACACAGGACCTTAGTTTTTTATTTCATCCTAACAACTAGACAATGTTATTTGTCAAGCCCTGCACAATACAAGAATTTAAAACTCTTTATAATATAAATATAGACTTTAGTAATACATAACACATTAACATTACATTAAGACTTTAAATTGCGTGTGTATTAGTTCCTCGATCAACAAAATATCCAGAACACAAGAACAGAGTTGTGTACCACAAGAACAAATTCCTTGTTGTTCGTATCTCAGTCTGATGTTCAAAATCTTGGAATCTTTATTCAATTTCAGGATGGAACAGCGTAACAATATCATTACGCTTTAAACTGAGCTCCAAATTGGACCAAACATGTTTACATAAAGTTTGTCATGACTCACAAGTTTATTATGCCCAATTATCCAGTGCATAGTAGAATATTGCAGAAAAACTAATTGCGTGACAATGTAAACAATACTGTTTGGAATTGAACAATACTTTCACCATTTTAAATACCTTAAATCACTGTCCAAAGTTTTAGGGAAGACCCCAGATTAGAGGAAGGGCTGTTATGTCGCTGTACTTGGGATAGATTGGGAAGAATAGACACACTCCCTCAAAAGCTCAAGTATCAGAAGCCAATCCAGCAATGGCCAGAGAGGGCTTTCTCGGGCCATTGCTTTAGGAATATTGCCCCACCTCAATATTGCAAATTATTTTGTGCCCCTGTTTGATATGAAAACAAATTGAGTTTTGTAAAAGTATATAATGAAATTAAATCCTTCAAATAAGATATTGAACTTCAAAGATAAAGATCTTAAAAACATAAATTAACAGCGAGTAATCAGAAAATTGATAACTCTGTTAATAGGGTTAAACCTCCTTGTGTAAAGTTGTAAACAAATTGTGGTAGAGGTGGTGCCAGATGCATGATAATATTTATGGAGGAGGGGAGATAGGCATTTCCGACAGTAATATGTACTAAAAGTTGCTATGGGGTAAAAGTAATAATGGAACACGTGAAGTTTTTTCTTATTGACATCATTTTCAAATTACCCCCTAAAAAATATTCATGCGCCCCACATTGGGAATCACTGATCTACACATAAACCTGGACGATTCCTGTACTTACATCTGACCCTGAGAGAAAATGAACGGATAGTAATTTTCCATCACTGTCTACTAAAGGGAGATAAGCTATCTGTGTATCTTCTGTATTGTTAGTATTAGCACCCGCTCCTATATTATCATCAGTATCCATCTCCATGGGAACAAGAGCTGAGAAATGTCCACGGGTATAACCTAATGAGATTGGTGTTTTCCAACAAAAACTTCTCTCCCACAATAATGGTAAGTAGACTCCTGGTAAAAATAATATTCAACATTATCCATTTTATACATAGATGAACATATCACTGGTTTTAAACAAGGATGGAGATGGAGAATAGTATAAAGACGGAGAAGCGTATAGGGAATGGAGAATGGTATAGGGAATGGTATAGGGGATGGAGAATGGTATGGGGAATGGAGAGTGGTATAGGGAATGGAGAATAGTATAAAGACGGAGAGTATAGGGAATGGAGAGTGGTGTAGGGAATGGAGAATGGTATCAGGAATGATGGAGGATGGCAAAGGGAATGGAGAATGGTATAGGGAATGTTACAGGGAATGGAGAGTGATATAAGGGATGGTATTAGGAATGATGAAGAATGGTAAAGGGAATGGAGAATGGTACAGGGAACGGAGAGTGATATAAGGTATGGAAAATACATGTAGTATTGGGAATTGAGTGTTGTATAGGGAATGGAGAGTAGTATTAGGAATGGAAAATAGTATAGGGAATGGAGTGTGGTATGGGGAATGGAGTTTGGTATCGGGAATGGAGTGTGGTATGGGAATGGAGTGTGGTATGGGGAATGGAGTGTGGTATAGGGAATGGAGAGTAGTATTAGGAATGGAAAATAGTATGGGGAATGGAGTGTGGTATAGGGAATGGAGACGGTTACTGGAGATGGAGAATGATACAGTGAATGGAGAATACTATAAGAGAGTGGAAATGGTAGAGGGGATGAAAAATGGTATAAAGATGGAGAATGGTACTTTTTATCAATCTTGTATATGGAAGTTTGATGTTTCTTTTCACAACAAGGTTATCCACTAATAATAACAGTAATATCCATTTATATACAATTAAAATACAGATTTGATGTCATTCTTTCATGTTGGCGTACCATTATGTACGAGCAACTTGCCAATCGTAAATTATTTATACTAGATGAAATATTGGACTCAAGTGACTTATTTCAATGAAATGCACGTACAGGATAGTGTGTGTATTTTAAAGTTGTTTGATTGTCTCAAGCTTAAGACACTGCATAATATATTGAAACAACACTCAGACTAACAACCTCATCCAGTATCAATATTTTTCTTAATGTCCACCTATCGACCATTAACCACACTCAAAAACCCCAAAATGTGCTTAATAACACACTATTCATATTATAGGTCTAACACCTGCTGCGTGAAATATGGTTGTATGACATTTAAACACAAAATGGCAATGCGATCTTCGGACTTCAGGGTTAATCATCATGATTTTAGTAAATCTTATCATAGATTATGTTGTATTTTCTACCTCAAAACCTTGTATTAAAATCCCATAAATCAAAATATTATTAACTGACACTTACCCTGAAATTTGGCCAATCCTATCGTCTCTCCTCTAAAACTTTTAACATATTTAACACCATAAACTATGATGGGACGACGAAATATATGAGCTAATGCAAAAATATGAGTTTGTTCTAATGATGTACCTGAAATAGATAAAATAATTTTCACATTACATTCAATTCCTGATATACATATAAAATTATGATAGTATATTCTCAATCTCATTATATTTATCAGTGTGCCGACAAGGCATATGAAGATATCAAGAACAAATGTGACAGTACATGTAGATAACAATCATCAATAATTCAACAACTGATTGCTGTTATTGGCTTTTTTATTAAGAAGAGAAATAGGTACCTCATTTTAAGGAGAGGGGGGGGGGGGGATATGAATAGAACCAAATGTACTAAACCATTAATCTTCTAAATTATTACATAATAGCAAAATACCATTCAACATGATATCTGACATCTTCATGTTCTTTTATGTTTATTCTGCTATATTTTATAAAATTAACGCAAACCACATGTATAGTAATAGCATATTGCTACTGTCAGTGGTATCAATATACCCCTATCATTCTTACGTCTATCACTTTCTATAGCTCCACATGTTATTGACTGATTAAATATACAGCCTATTGACCTATTGCAATACACAAAAATTTGTCAGGTAATTATAAACGCAGGTGTTTTGGGGCCTTACGATTATAAACTTGTGGTCTGGGAATATATAACACTGACCTGGTTGACTGGCTAGACTTAATAATATCGCCCAGTCTCTTTGCCACTGTCCTTCATCTAAACTAAAATGTAATGATTGGGCTTGAAGTGATTCATACTCCTTCCAACGTGGATAAAATCTGAAAATAATTATATTATGATAATAGAATATATTCAATTTTTGATTGAACTGAAGGAAACAAATATGATATGGCCACAGTTAATTAAGAAAAGTAATGTTATTACTGTATATGATGATTAGAAATGCCACATATTGAGGAGATAAAATGATATCCTATTGAAAAACAAAGTAAATTAGGTGACCAGAACAAATATACATGTACTATTCTGAATATTATCTTTCTCACTCTATTAGTATTATCAGCCGTGCAAGGCTGAGGGTCTGGCAAAAAAAAAGCGTCTGTCTAGTAGTTCGGATGGAACGTGAAACTGAAAAAACCCTGAAAGTTGGAAATTGATGTACAGTGGGCAGAAATGTCACCGCCTCGTGACATACCCGGTTTGTGCAGAGAAGTAAGATGCTTAACCAAATTTCATTTTCATTATTCGAAAGTTGGCATATTTTTCAAGATGGACAAAATTACCAGAATTTAACCTAACATAGCAGAAGAGAGCATTGGTTTAATCTTAAAGATGGTGATCAATAAGGCTGTGCAAAAATATTGATATAATCGATGATCGGTAGAAGTTATTTAGCGATACGATAATCAATATTGAAATTCAAATATCGATTATCGGTATATTTACCTTCTGACGGCAAGTTACGGTTACTTTCACATGACTGAACTTGCCGTAGTCAGGCATTAGCAGACGAATGAATGAATACACAACGTCAACACAACAACTATTTTTACCCTTTTGCTTACAAACTGGCACATTTTAATATATATATTATTGTAAAAAGCTAAACTTTAAGATTAAATACATTATTTTAATATTTTCGTTGTTTTTGTTGTTATTACTAGTTGAAACTAAAATAGGCCACGCACTTTGTGAACAATTTCAATCGCACGTGATATAATGATATATAGTAAAATTAGAATTATCTCCCTTCTTTGTTCTTGATTGATTTGTAGAGAAATCGTCTGCTTTCACGATAAAACTAATTGTATTATTAATTATCAACTCCGCTTTTATTACTAAATCATGTCAGATACAGCCCATACAAAACACGTTTTTGACTTCCAGGGAAAATATCTATATCTCTCACAATTTCGTGGAAGAATTCTACTTTGGTTTTCATCTAAATTAACCAATCATAAAAATTCTACTTTGAAAGCCCGTAATTATTTTTTTATTGTCCAATCAATAGACGCCTTCTATTTTATTTTATTGTATTATTAATAACACTTTGTAATCGCCAATCACTTGCAAAGAGAAACCATGTATTGTCTTTGTATTTATCGGAGATATTGGAATAAAAAAAGGTTCAAATGAATCAAGAATAAAACTTATAATAATACTCAAGTTAGTCCTACATTTAGCAACTAATTATTTTAAATTAATTGATTTTTTTACGTACATCGATCAACACAAATAACAGGTCGGTAAAGTTCGGATTTTTCCGGAAAAATGATAATCGATTATTATCGATAATCACTGAAAAATTCTTGCCGATAATCGATATTAAAATTTCATATCGATTCCCAGCCTTAGTGATCAATAGAGGTAACAGAATCAAGAGGACCTAACCTGATATGTACACAAGCCAGGACACATAAGGTACCAGTCACAAACTTTGTCAAGTACAAATTATCACATAACGTTATAATATTTTGTGTGGTAATTTGTGTCTGATAAAGTCTATGACATGTACCTTATGTTAGGCTTGCATGTACATGGACATATTAAGAGATGATAATAAAAATTCCTGATGACAACCAATGATTGTGAGAATAAAACTTACGTCATAGCTCCTTCATTAAGACTATCAGATAAAGCTCGACGTAAACTATTATCAATATCAAACACCCCCCAAGTAGTCTGTAATACGGAATCTAATAAACAATCTCCGGCAGTACGATTCCATAACGCATACAGACGACTTCCTAAACAATTAGTTAATTCTTTACTCCAGTTTATAATAGATTCTTCTGATTCCAATTCTATAAGAAAACAAACATAAGTTGTCAGGCAACTAAACATACACCCACTAGCAGCCAAGTCATCAAAACAGTTATGAGCTAAACAACTCATACGGTACATAAGTTTCAACAGAATCAGATTAAAGATACATTATGGGAGATAAGATAAAGAGTTGACTGTTCTCGCTATAATAGTTAAAAAATAGATAATGTAAATAGAATACGTTGAAAATGTCAGTCAAATTGCTCCACTCTGAAACAAGATACTGTATTAGCTTTTGAATTTTAAGCCTAGCCTCGATCATCATTACTAAAGTCGGTACAATAAAAAACATAGTCTCGATTATCCATTTTTGAATTTAATTATCAATGAGCGTTGAGCAACAGATAGGATTCAAATCCAGTGAAAATCCAAAACATAAGAATAAGATAACATTGAGAGTTGATTATGGTTTGGATAGGTTAATTAATGTCTAATTAATAGTTTATATAACATTTCAGGCCTAAAGAAAGACCTGCAATAGGCAGATTTAGCTCTTGCATAATGTATGCTAAATTAAACCCATTTTATTGAAAATCAATGTTTCTTCATTTTAATAGGATGGACAGATACCCAATGTAAATTTCAGAAAAATATGTTAACAATTAAAAAGATATACATGTAATAACAAAAGGGCATTGGTTCATTGAGATAGACAATCTACCGGTATATCAATTTCAAATAGCAAAGGAGCACACATGTAACAAAAATCAATGAAAATCAATAGGTTTTCAATAAATTTTAGAATGGTAGCCAACAATATTTCATAAAAAAGGGGAATAACTCTGGAGGTTAATATGGAAAATGGTTCAAATTCAATTAAATTCAATAGATAGATAACAAATATAAATTTCAGAAAGTTCACATAATTTCTTAAAGAGTTATTAATACTATAGGCATCTTTGTTGCAATGAGATACATGTAGACAATCCATCATATTAGAATACATGTATGGATTATTATAACCTCTTTTCTCTTTTAACACGAAATGAGACCAAAAGACGGACGACAAACAAGGTGACGACAATATACGACCAAACTAAAATGTGGATGTATAAAAAAACAATCATTTTTGTTATATTTTTATAGGAACTTTTTTAAGGCCAGTTGATATCTAGATATTTTTTTATATTTTCATAGCAATTTTTTTTTAGTCCAGTTGACAGTAGTAATTATATTTAGACAAGAGTTAAAACACACTGATTTTACTAGACAACGATTGCTTGAATGATTGCCTATGAAATAGATTTTAAAACACTTTCCACTCCATCTGCAGTGAAACTTGATCATTTCCAATACCTGGAATGTCAAGGTCATCCACACAACAAATCTACAAATTCTATACTGTCTAGCTTGTGAAAAGCCATATGTGCACTGCTTCTGTTTGCATCTAAAAGTAGCTGCATAATTTCCAAATAAAAAGAACATCCTACTTACCATGTTGTACATCTCTATCTAATAATTCATCAAATAGTTGACTTTGAACTGGTGTCGGTAAATCTACTATATCTGTAATAAATAATACAATTGAACAATACACATTGTTAGCTATCTCACAAACTTTCAAAATATTCTATTGTGTATCTCATTTATCAGATTTCATAAATTTAATGTAATTAGTCCATTTGTTTACTCTTTGAGTACAAATGAACAATAAAATCGTAATATTCGACTGGGTTCTAGTTCTACCCTATCTTTGTATCTCGCTCATAAGTTTTCGTAAGTTTTGAATGTGAATGTGGATATAACTCTAAATTTGAATTTTGAAAGAACTTTGATGTTTAGATATAGTTCAAGAGATCTTGGGACACCTAATCACCTATTCCATGTCAAGTAGACCAAATACTCAGGAAGTTGTCAGTGACCCCCTCAGAACATGATGAAAAAAATATATGTTATTTATAGTACATACAAACATTTGTTACATGACTCTAGCATTAATATTGACTGAGATATGACCTTTTGAATAAGGGTATATTTTGGCAAGTCTTGGAACTCTATTTTATGACTCGATTTTGGTGTTCTGACTTTATTCCTTCTAGTCAGTCTCTATTCTTGAAATTTTGTGGTTTGTAAGAACTCACCATCAAATTTCACAGGACAAGTACCGTCAAGTGTGTATGGAGTGCCTTATTTTGATACGGTGTATAAATTTTACTACACTATCCTATATTACAGTGATGGGGTTTCAAAATTTTTCTTGCCACACATTTTTACCAAAAATAAAGGGACATCTTATCGTTATTTAAACTGGCAACAAAATACAGTATTCAAATTCATACATAATAATAGGTGCACCTTGTTATTTTTCATATTTAATTCCCATGTGGTATTCAAATTTATGTCAGTATATTCCTACAAAATTACGATAGAATGAAAGTGTGCCGACTACTGTCGACCCATACTTTTTATCAAATTTACGGCAGTAATATTCCTACAAAAAAACCCGTATTTTTCGGATCTAGGTCGACACTTTTTTCAGCAGAAGTCTGGCATTCGTCTTATACTCCGTTTCGACTAATATTCGGATGGAGGTAAAAATAAATTTTTTGGCAGTAAGCTACGCTCCATGATACAGAGTGAGTGACATCATTTGCTAAATAATAGAGCTCGACTTTGATCGCACGTGCTATCGTGTAAAACAATTAACTACTTACACTACTATCGAATTCAGAATATTTGTCGACATTTAAATTTCTCAGCTTGTTTATTTCTTTTTTTGAAAACATAAACCCCATTCAAAATATTATCATAAACCCGAGAATATGTATCAAAATAGAATCTGTTCTCTGACATTTTCCATGTGATAATTGTCACGTTTACATCTCTCATTTCACTGGTCTCACGAGATTTCTACTTTTGTTTTCGGTTATTGCATTATAACCATGTGTGTGTGGGTGTGAGTGTGTGTGTGTGTGTGTGTGACAAGTTAACGGATATGATATGTGACATAAATGACTAGTTTATAGATGTTGTCGACTGACATCAAGGAGATAAAAATGTCCGACAATGAGGAAACCCAAGTTAATCACATAGATTAAGTTTATAATCACTCTTATTGGATTGATACAAATGATAGTTAATCAAGGTAGGTGTACAGACGGTATGACACGATAAATACATAGATCACTTAATTACATAATCAATCCAGCCTATTATCAGCAATAATCGGGTTGAGTGGTAGTTATACACTCAGTAAACTATATTAATATTGGAATTTTGAATATTATTCACCATGTCTTGATGTACGATTGGGCATATTCATGGTTGGACAATTTAGAACGTTTGGAAAATAGTGTTGGACAAAATCTCATCACTGCTATATTAGGAGTTGTTACTTATCACATGTATAATGTATCAATTGGTATTGTTTGAACAGACATTATTAAAATAAAAGGCATATCTATGTCAGTTTCTTGTAAAATTGGCTTTGAAAATTGACTTAAACAGGGAAATGACTAAAATCCCTATTTTTCAAACACTGATCATGTATAAAATGCCTTTCATAAAAAATATGAAACTTAGGGGAAATGTTGCTTGTACACATGTCTATCAATGATGAAAGGCCCATCTTTGATATTTTACTCCTTATTTTCATTAAATTTGAAGTAAATGAACAAAACAATATTAATTGATTAGAACCTACCTGCTGGAAGAGCAAATGTAACACAGTCAGTATAAAAGAAGCAGGGGAAATCCCCTTTCCGCTGTCGTAACAACGAAGCGATTTCTCTACGTATGTCTGATGCTGTGTCTGGACTAGAATGTGACGGGAGACGTTTTACAGCCTTTGATGCAACATCTGTGGCCGTTAATAATACTGCTAATAAATCTTCACGTTTATACTGTATCGCTAGATGAACTAATGTGTAACCCACTTCAAATCTACCAGGTTTATTAATTAATGCTACTTCGTCCTGTGTCAGCTGACGTGCTGGATCACCTCCTGATTGAATGTAAGCTTCGATAGCATTAGCGTCACCATCGACAACACCTGCACATGCTCCCACCCACAGCCAGTCTTTATCTCGCATTCGTTTGCGTAATAATCGTACACGTTTTTCTTCACTTCTATTGCGTTCTTCTGATAAAGATGGAGCTGCATATGCACCTCCTGCTATTGATGCCATATTGTCTATACTGTATGAAGTGCCTGGCGAAGTCCTACCGCGCCGATTAAAATCTCGTTCATTGTCACCACTATAGCTACCACCTGCAGCAAGATTAGTGTCTGCTGCATGACTTCTATTGCGAAAACTGCCACATAAAACACATTTATTATTTTTGGGGAAATTATCATATGTACAAGATTTACATGTCCATTTTGTGCCTGCTCTTGTTTGTGCTGCTACTGCACGATTGATATCGTTATTTATTGCTTTGGCTGCCTCAGGTGAACTGGGAGATGTACGATTGGGTGTGCTACGCCCCGATCGACTTTCTTCGATATTGACATTTACACTTAACGGCTCCATGCGACTGCTAGCCGAGCTAGTTGGAGATGATTTCCGTCTGGCTGTTAAACACTGTAAACACTTCTGAGCTTTTGGCCAGTTGAGATACGTACACATGTGACATGACCATTTATTGCTCTCGGAACTAGTGCTGCCCCCACATATAATTCCTGATGATGATTCAGTGCTTTTAGTCATCAGGGAGGCCATTTTGTAAATATCTCGAGTCTGGTCGACACTTTCTGTGATGAGCTGTTGTGGACGTAATCCACGGCATAGTGTACAGCGTTTTGAAGCTGGGAAGTTGTCATAGGTACAGTATTCACATGACCATTTGCCTTCTTCAGATGTATCAGTCATTTTGATTGGTTAGAGGTAGGCCTCACTGAAAATAGATAATTTCAAAAATTAATTATTTTGTTTTACAATGATACATTATCTAGGCTTTTATGTGTCTCTCACATAAACATATCTTTCTATAAATCCTTTATTAAGGTAAATTGGCTTATTGTTTTTGTCCAGGTTGTGGAAATTCTTAATATGGGTAGGGTTGTGAAAACGTGCTTCATTTTTACACCAGCGCTGGACTAATGGAGACAGGCAGTGTATTATGACTATAAGTATGAAGGAATACTACACAGAAATCAGGGTTTTGGCCTAATCTTCATCAAATTCCAAATGTCCCATCCAAATGACAAGACAGTTTTCCTTGCCAGGCCCTCCATTCTGCACAACTGGGACAAGTAGGCCTACAATGTATGTGACCTAGTGGTTATAAGTTGAATTGTGAACCTAAGTTCTTTATTCAATTCCACAAATATACCGTACATAGTATGCACTCTACAGAGGTTTAACTCTGTCTAACCATGTTGAGTTTTCTCAGTTTTCCCAACTGCAAAAGAACCCTTTATATATAAACAAGCAAATTATTGAAATATCAAATTTTACATGTTATTATAATTGTGTTGAACTCCATTTCCTTAAACATACATTATGCAAGAGCTAAATCTGCCAAATGAAGGTCTATCTTTAGGCCTGAAATGCTATCTAAATTATTAATTAGACATTAATTAACTTATCCAGACCATAATTAACTCTTGATGTCATCGCTAGCCTGCGATATTTACTGGATTAGAACTCGATCTGCTGTTCAACACTCATTGATAATTAAATCAAAAAATGGATAATCTAGACTATGTTTTTTATCGTACCGACTTCAGTAATGATGATCGAGGCTAGATCCAAAATTCAATCGCTAAATTCTCGGTTCAGAGTGGATCAATTTGACTGAAATTTTCAGCAAATTCCCTTTACATTATCTAGTTTTTAACTATTATAATGAGAACTGCCAGCTCTTTATCTAATCTCCATCTTTAAACATTAATTGCTCATCTTCTGGTCGTCTAAATATTACACTTTAACATGAGAACTGCCAGCTCTTTATCTGATCTCCCATAATGTATCTTTAAACATTAATTGCTCAACTTCTGGTCGTCTAAATATTACACTTTAACATGTTGACTTGTTACACAATAAAATAGTTTATAATCAAATAGTAGCTAAAAAAAATTGCAAGTTCCTCCTTTTACAAATATTACTAACATGTATTTACACAGGAAAACTTTTTATCAAATGTACAGTAATTGTGTTTAAAATAACCAACACAAGGCCAAGGGATACAGGCTTATTATGTAATAAATAGACAAATAGGAAGTACATGAATATAGTGATAACAAGCCAACAGTGAGGTCGTTGTCCCTCACCACAATCCCCAAATAAATAGAGGACACATAGTAATTAATTGCACATTGATCTTTTTGGAAAGCATTTTAGCAGTCAAACTGATTATCTACAGCATACTTAATCATGGTTTTGATGTACCAAAGCATCGACCAATGAAACTGCTTAGCTTTGTTTATCTTTAGCGGATAATGTTAACCATTGAACTCAAAGACAATCACCTAATGAACATCATCTACACCAAGTTTAAACACTCTACCTCAGTTAAAAGCATTCTAATTCTTATGTTCCAAAGTATTGACCAATCAAATTGCTTATCGCTATTTATCTTTCAAAGCTAATGGTATAATGAATCTATACTCTGAGTTTCATCACTCTCATCCAATCAGAACCAAAGTTATCATGTTCCAAAGTCACAACCAATCAAATTGCTCATCTCCGCTTACCCTTAGCGAAAAATGTGCATGATCGAACACCGTCAAGGCATTCACCTAATACACATCTACACCAAGTTTGAACATTCTACCTCAATATTAGAAGGAGAGTTATTCCATTCCAAAGTCTACTTAAAGAATCTACTTAGCCTAACAGAAAACCCTCATCATCGAGCTTGAAATGAAATGAAATGGGGTTTAACGGCCTACTGTTATGCTCTGACTGTGCTAATGAAGACGGGTATACGCCATACAGTGTGCCATCAGGAGGGAAATTTTGCCCGGGAATCGGCACTCTGGCCTACTCTTATATCGAATTCCAACTGCCAAGGGATCTTTTAAGTGCACGTCAATTTGTACACGGGACCTCGGTTTTTCGTCCCATCCAAACTACCCTCCATCCTGCACCATTGACAAGGGGAAACCATATTGGATCATCAAACTTAGTCAAGGCATCGATGTAATTTTAAACTATACACAAAGTTTCACCACTCTCACTCAGAATGAAAGTTATTGAGCTCTGAAGTCTTGACTTATCAAATTGCTATGGTCTCTGCTTACTCTGAACAGAAAATGCTCATTATCGAACTTACAAACCCATTTTAATAGTCCGCTGCTTTCTTCGAAAATGGGAGGGACAATAAAAACGAAATATAACTGACATCTGATTCTAATAACAGGTCTTCAATTGCAGAAGTACATCCTCTAGATCAACATAATTAATAAGTTTATAAGATCATTTACTGACATCAATAGTAAAGCTTAGAATTTAAACATTTTAAAATGGGGCTTCTCTCAAAAAGGCCAGTGAATCCACACAATTCAGTTGAAGCATGATAAAATTAAGTGGAAGTCAGCTTGCTTAATTTCCTATGAGACATGATGCCATTTTTTTTAATTTTGTAGCCTCATCCCTTCTCGTTGTCCCTGGCATGCATACATGTAGTCATGTACAAGCCAGCAAAAGTATATAAATGTCAGCAAATGTGTAGAAATATTAAACTTTAATTAGGACTACCATACCTATTTGAGTAGTTAACCTTATAAATTATTCCCCAAAGAAAAATATCCTTTTTTATTTGTTGCCTATCATCAGTAACAATAATCTGAGTATAGTCAATAGTTTATGAGAGAGAGAGAGAGGGAGAGAGAGTTCAACATCCACTGACACAAACTAGGTCATTTCGGAACTAACATATGGTTCAATTTTATTTTAATAATTCGCTTGCACGTAGGGGTCTTTAGCAGTGGGAGGAAATCGTAGGACCCAGAGAAAACCCATGAGGATGGACAGACCGCGTTATTTCTTATCATGTACAACACACTGGGGAATCAAAACCACACCAGTGCATGACTCAATGAGTGACAGACCTTATGATGCAGCGCACACGCTAACCATTCGTCCATCCACCCACCCACCCCTCAATAGTTTATACAAAATGTAAATATTGTGACCATTGTATGGGGCTACATGTACAGTGTGTGACAGATTAACAGAACCTGACCATAATAATTAATTAGCATTAACAAATCACTTATGATTGAGTACCGGCATGTACATTGTCATTAAATGAGTGATTGATGCTCGTGCAGTCACTTATTTTGAAATAAGAATAACAAAAAAGGAAATTTAGAAATGCTAAAACTACTTACAAAATTTTTTAAAATTTAATTAATTTGATTGTGATGATTGCTTGCTGTTGTTCAGTTGTTGTTATCAGTATAATAGTGTACTTAGCGTATTTTATTCTGACTACTCTTTCCGCTGCAAAGTTATGAATGAGGGAATAATTTCTCAGGCTCCAACATCATATTTAGAATGATGACAAGGTAGTCTCAAAACACAACACCGCACATGAACTGAATCGTGTCCAACAACAAAAACAGAAACAATACCAGACTTCGCCCTCGCCACGGGAGCCTGTTTCAATCACTGTTAGTTCATCAAAAAGGTTGTTTATGGATTCCAAAATCTGACCAAATGAAATACCAAAACCTATGGTATAACTAGGCGAACTCGGGACTCAGGAAATCTTCTTTACAGTGTCATATTTCGTTTTTATATCTCTGATATTCTGACAAATTCATAATACAAACAAAACGACTTCCATATTAGATGTGACGTCACTTAGGGGTGAAAATGCAGTCATCGTCTTGGAAGAATGCCATTAGTAGGAAATGCAGTCAAGCGTTTACGAATGCGATTAACGATATGCATTTCGACCGTAAAATATTTAATTTATCTGAAATGGATGGGCTTGATCATCAAACTAATTACTTGAGACGTTTTGCATTTATGTTATGACTAATCAACTTGAGGGGAAGTCATTTCTGCTTGACAGATGAAAAACAAAATGGAGAGATTTTTCGAGGAAAAAGTTGTTCCAGATGTTATAGACGCAGCCCCGCTTCAGTTATTGGGGGTTTGTATATATTAAGTTGTCGTGTATGGTCCAAAATAGAATATATTTGTTTTTAAACCGTTGATAAACTTCATTTGCATCGAGTTGGGTGAGAATCAAGGCCAATTATGGATTGTATTTTATTGTTTATTTACACAAGAGCCTCTATGGTCCAGGGGAAAAAACTCTGAAAGCCGAATGGGAGCAGACCACCAAATATTCCCCCATTGACTTTTTAATGCCAATTATAGCGTCTATGACCGGCTTCAACTTTTCCCAAAATTTTCGTTGTGCTAAAAACTCTACACAAACATAACATCTGAATGTAAATCCAATTCCTTCATCAGTATATTTAATTGGGGTACAATTTTTCATTATTGATTGATATCAGCTACATGTACATGTGATTGTGAGTACTCAACTAGTTTATCATGATTGCATGGCTATCCGTGAAACTTGTCTGCAACTCCACCTGATATCTGAACGTTGGTATTTCCTTTAAAACATAATATGTAACAGGCATTGCCTGAGTAGAGCGAAGCTGATTATTGTCAAATATAAAACCTTCATAATTAATTTTCTCAAGTGACACAAAAAATGTTAAATAATTTAGTTTTTCCAAATTGATTTTTATTTAGATCTAAATTATATACCTTAATTTTGTTTTTAAAAAAAGAACAAAAAAGTGTGAGAATTATTTTTCATTGACTTCAAAAATATACTATTCAAAAAAAGTAGGGGATATTTGATTTTGGGGGCATAATACTAAAATATGCAAATGACTACGAAAAAAGTCACTATAGAACCTAACAGAAGAAACATTTCCAGTTACATGTGACGCCCAAACGCACCAATAGCTACCGCATGGAATGCAGGTGATGCTTGGGGTCATCATGGGGGTCCAACCCAAGATTTGCACGACTCTGACTTTGAATGTTACAGTCATTGTGGCATTGAATTCCAGGGTGGAAACATCAGTTTAATTGTTTTAGTGACCAGAAAACAAATTTTGATATGCGTCGGCTTACCCAAAATGAAAGGTTACGTGCCCTTGGCATGCTACAGATCGGCACAACACAGGCGGTTGTGGCGCGGACGATGAATGTTTCTCAGTCTGTCATAAGCAGGCTATGGTCCAGATACCGTGATACACAATCTGTACAGGACAGACCACGCTCAGGTCGACCAAGGGCGACAACTCAAGCCCAGGATCGATTTATCCGTACCTTGGCCTTGAGAAATCGTGTCATCACAGCAAATCAGATCAGCGCTCGTCTTCAAACAGACACTGGTGTGAGAGTGAGTGGCCAGACGATTCGGAATCGACTGCATAGGGGTCACCTTCGCGCCCGACGTCCTCGCGTGATCCCTTGTTTGAGAGATCATCACATTCAGGCAAGACGTCGTTGGTGTAGGGATCGTCAACACTGGGATAATCGACGCTGGAGCAATGTGATGTTTTCAGATGAGTCAAGGTTCACTGTTGATTTTTTGGACAGACGTAGGAGGGTGTGGCGTCGTCGAAACGAGCGCTTCCAAGACGTTAACGTCATCAGACATGATCGATTTGGGGGTGGTTCTGTTATGGTGTGGGGAGGCATCACTGTTGCTGGAAGAATGGCTTTACATGTTGTTGCAGGGCGTGTTACAGGCCAGTACTACCGGGACAACATCTTGGCAGTCCATGTTGTGCCGTTCGCACGACGTCATGGCCGCCGTTTCATCTTCCAGGATGACAACGCAAGATGTCACAGGGCCAGGATCGTTACAGGTTACCTCCAACAACAGAACATCACCACATTACCTTGGCCAGCACTGAGTCCCGACCTCTCCCCCATCGAGCATGTCTGGGACATGCTTGGACAGAGGTTACGTCAACGTCAACAACGTCCTACCAATGTCCAAGAACTTGCTGCTGCGTTGCAACAGGAATGGGACAATCTGGACCAAAATGACCTTAGACGTCTCATTAGGAGTATGCCACGTCGGATCAATGCTTGTTTGGCAAACAGAGGAGGATTTACCCGTTACTGACTTGGTTGTGATGCTGTGGTAACTTTGCTGTTTGACCCCGGGTATCATTTTACCCTTATAATGGTCAGTCTGTGCCTTACTTAGTCTAACGATCATTTGGAATAAATCGATGAATGTGAACTTCATTTCATTTTGTCATTTGTTTCTTCGTCAGTTTCATTAGGTGACTTTAATAACACTTAAAAATCAAATATCCCCTACTTTTTTTGAATAGTATATGTGAGGTCATTGATTAGACGCGTCATAGAAATAGTTTTAAGAGGCGCGTTATCTCGCTTGGGTGAGATTTGGTAAGTTGACATGCGCATTGCCTGTTTTGCCCAGTGTTTCCGGTTCCGGTCTGATTTTTTTTTTAATCAACAGTCTGTGGGTGACAATTTCAGTTACGATCTTCAGAGCTTCAGATAGTTGCTTGAGACAAGAATAAGAGACTCTGATTAATCACTAAAATGTACCTGGGATTTCTCTTAATAATTAATTTTGTTGTCAGGTAACATATGATGAAACACTCTCCATAGAACCAGGTGTAATAACCACACCAACACAAGTACAAAATGAACCAGCAATAAAGTTTGATGGTGAACCTGGAATATTTTATACATTAATCATGCATGGTATGTATCAGAGACTACCCATTGGTAAGTAAGTTAATATAAGGCCTATTGTAGCTAGCATGTCTGTGGATGCATGCTTTATATATATAGAGTGCATCATTTTAGGCTTTTACATCTTTGGTGTTGTGACTTAATGGCCCGCTTTAAGGTATAGTTTTATTTCATTTTTTTAAATTTTGTATATGCCCACATTGAAATGTCGTCGTATATTGTCGTCGCCTCCATCCGGCCACCATCCACAATTGCTTGTTGACGCTCTAGAGGCTAAATTTAATATCCGATTGACTTTAGATTTGTACACAGTGTTTAAGGTCATGAGAGGAAGAATCCTATTGATTTTCATCGATTTCCAATAATTACTGCTGGAGTTATGGTCCTTAATCACTTTCAAATATCTTGTGGATGCTCTAGAGGTTAAAGTTAATATCCAATTGACTTTAAAGTTATACACAGTGTTTATGTTCATGAGACGAAGAATCCTATTGATTTTAAATTTATACACAGTGTTTACAGTCATGAGACAAAGACACCTATATATTTTCAAGGATTTCCGATAATTACTGCCATAATTATGGCTCTTGATTACTTCAAAAAGTCCTGCAGATGTTCTACAGGCCAAAGTGATCATTCGATTTACTTTAGATTGATACACAGAGTTTAAGGTCTTGAGATGAACAAGTATATTGATTTTTCAATTATTTTTGATAATTTGAACAGCTAAATCCATGATATTAAATGTTTTGTATACTAAAAGTTACCACGGGGCAGAACTTGAAGCCAATCAAATTCTAATGATTTTCTGATGATTACTTTATAAGTTGTTACTCTTAGTCTTAATCAGATTTTAGTGTATTATAAATGTTTCATTACCGACTTAGCTGCTGTTGGCGAAAGTTTTGTTGCCTGGCAACCAATCTTTCTATATTGGTTTGATTGAGATCAAGTTTTAGAGGGTTACATCTTGATTAAAACTTGTGGATTACTCAGCTAACTTAGTGTGGGTATATGTTTCATTGTCTGGCAACCTATCTTAAAATATTATAAATGTGCTTTTTCCGAATATCCTGTCCCTCTAATTTGTATGCAATTGTTACATGTTTCATTATGTGTAACAATGTATAAAGGATGAAATTTAGGCCAGAGCAGTTAAGTGCATTAAAAGGGCATTAACTAATACTAATAGGAACTTAGAGTGTTAATATTAAAAAGTTATTTGGTATAAATGTCCAACACTGATCAGCAGTGAATATTCTCTTGGAAGACATCTGTGCAGGTTAATGAGCTCCCATTCCCAATGTCAACTCTTTTTTTTCCTCTTGCAAATTAAATTTAGAACATTGTTTTGAAGTATTAGAAAAATGAATAAAGGGTATATAATATGAGTAAAAGACACCATTCTGCCAGGACCAGTTCACAACACAACCTCTTATGTAAACAATGCACGCGCCATATATAGCCAATACATAGTTATTAGAAGATTTTGCAATACCTCTGTGAAATTGATTGAACGTGTTTAGGGCTTTATAGTCTATGTCTAGTTTCACTTATATAACCTTGCTGGTTTTCCAACCCTTATAATCTATGTTATATTTATACCCAAATTACCTATTTGTTTTATTTTGATATAAAATAGTATTGTTGTCAAATGGTACACTACACTAACTCTAGTCTACTATTTATCATATATTTTCTTTCAATCTGGTTAAAACACAGATCCTATTTCGTTTCGTTTTTATAGTTCAAAATTTTGTTTTACTTGTCTTTACTACACTTGGATCTGGAAGGGTTGTTATTTAACTCGTGTTCTGAATGGTGTCAGGGATAAGCCAATGAAACGGTCTGTTACGGCGAGCTTTAGATGTGTTTTTCACAGAACTCTGGGTAATACCCTAGTAACATCAATGCTGATTGGTTAATCAAATGTCTAACGTCATAGGGTCATAAGTTGGTCTTTTGACCCCTGACGTGACCTATCGCTATAACTTGTCAGATCTTCATGTAGTGTAGGCCATCGAAAGTATAAAAAACCGAAACGAAATATACATCTGTATTTTAATCAGATTGATTTTCTTTCTAAGTTATAATGTTCCACAAATGTCTCCACATATATGTATATTGGTAGCTTCTATAGGTAATCTAATCTTCTGTGTATGTTTGTGTTATTCCAGTTTTCTTCCCATTAGTTACACCATTTGTTAACCTTTTTTGCACATTCATGAGATACAATGTATTATGTATTTCAACAATAATTAAGTAGATATTCTATTCCACCAGTTACAAACCTGTAACTCTTAACTTCTGAAATGCTATTAGTTTATTGTTACTGGATGCCCCCCCCCCCCTTCGCTCACAAAATAAGCCCTCATTGGTTGTGGGGATAAAGCCTTCAGGGTCTGTGGACCGTGTTTGTGGAATAACTTACCATTATAGATACAGAGTTCTCCTCAAACATTAGCTGTGTTCAAATCCAAACTCAAAACTCATTTGTTTGTTACTTATTATCAATGCACTTATTAATTAGACCATGCAATATGGATGGATTGAGCGCAGTCATAAATGTATATTATTATTATTAATATATAACCATTGAAGATATTCCTGCTAGGGATTCATATAGGCAAGAGCCTAGACAATAAATCTAGGTTTGTGTGCTTCAGTTGTTGGAAGCTAAGCTGAATATATACATTGTCAAGTCTTCAAGCCATTATTTATGAATGGTAGAGTTTATACTGAGTGATAGACTAAATCATAAAACTGGTGACCTGCGTTTCAGCACATATTTCAACAGATATTTTGGGAGCAAAAGAATTTGAAATCATTACAACAAAAGCAGGTTTTTACCATTCGGACATAATATGTTCTACTTAATTTTGTCTATTAAATATTTGTAATTTTATCACTTGCAGATCCTGATGCACCATCGCGGAAAAATTCTATAAATGGTGAATGGCAGCATTGGTTAGTAGTTAATATTCCTGAAGGTCGAGTCAGTGAAGGGGATGTTATATCGGAATATATTGGAGCTGGTCCACCCAAAGAAACGGGTATGCTTATATTTGATTTGTCTATTTTACAAAGAAAAGAAGTAAGGAGTGAAGAAATAAGATTAATAGATTATATTGCTACTCATTATTGTCACCTTTGTAATAATTTGAGCCCCTGATCATCATTTGGGGGATTTTGAATCCCTTGAAATACTGTGAAAGTTAAATTTCTAAATAGAATATCAGTCCAAAAATGGTTCAGTTTTCTTCATTATTTACAAAAATATCTTCATTCTTCACAAAAAACTTTTGATTAGTGCTGGCACAATATATCGTTGAATCATTGTATCACAATTCACACTGACTTTAAATTTATACACAGTGTTTAAGGTCATGAGACGAAGAAGTCTATTGATTTTCACCGATTTCCGATAATTACGGCAAGAGTTATGGCTCTTGATCACTTTCAAAAATTTAGTGGACGCTCTAGAGGCTAAAGTTAATATCCGATTCTCTTTAAATTTATACACAGTCATCAGACGAAGAAGCCTATTGATTTTCGCCAATTTCTGATAATTACTGCCAGATTTATGGCCCTTGAAAAATCTTGTGGATGCTTTAGAAACCGATGTTATCATCTGATTGATTTTATATTTATACCGGGGGATGGATGGCCGATTGGTTAGCACGTGTGTGCAGTATCATAAGGCCTGTCATTGAGTCAACTGGCAAGGTTTCAAATCCTTGGTTGTACGTGACAAGGATTAGGGTCGCCTGTCCCACCTAGTGGGTTTTCTCCAGGTCCTCCGGTTTCTTCCCACTGCTAAAGAAAGACCCTTATGCACCAATAAATTATTGAAATAAAATTAAACCATATGTTAGTCCCAAAATGACCTAGTTTATGTTGAGTGGCGGTTAAATCCCATCAAAATAATCAATTTGATTACATTCTAGTGTAACATGCAAATGAGTATCGGCAGATTTAATACTGTCAGCTTGTAAATTTAAAATATTAAATAACAAATTGTATCCTGATTTATAGAAAACGTAAGCATACTGGTGCATTATATATTGAGATATATATATATTTTCATGTTAGTGATGTTATGCGGGTATCAATCAGTTTATATTAAAAATTTTAGGTCCATAGCTACAGCTTATGTTGAGATATCACTGATTTTTGTGTTCCATTGTCAACAGTTTAAGCTAAAAATAAAATTAGTAATCTCTTCAAAAGGAATCTTTGTTAGCCTAATTGTTTCTTTTTAAATGACATATAATTTCATCAATTACAGGTTTACACAGATATATATTCTTGGTATATAAACAGAAAAGTCGACAGGATTTTGGTCTACCAAGATTATCCTGTTCCACGATGAAAGGAAGAGCAAAACAAAAGGTGCGGGAGATCTGTTCTAGATATCATTTAAGAACTTTAGTTGCTGGAAATTTCTTCCAGTCAGAGTGGGATGACTATGTACCAAAACTTTATGCAAAATTTAGATAATATTCTTCAATATGATTCGGCACTAAATCTATTTTTTATGAATCTGGATTTCATGAACTTCATTAGAAATGATGTTACTTTTGATATTATTAATTTATTGTATAATTGCAAACTCTTACTATGCACACAGGTTGTTGGATGGCCTATTATGTTAGACTAGAAGTGTATGTCAAAGTTCATATGATAAAGATTATCTTGTTGACTTGTCTTCTATGCTTTCTAAACCTCTTGGATTTCTTGGTTGTGTCGATTGGAAGTTGGATTAATTTTCCTTGGTGCCTTTGGAGAAGATCAAAATAGTATGGGTATTTGTTGTTAAAGTCGAATACTCGGTATCCAGAAGTATAAAATATCTAGATATGAAAATATATGAGATCAAATTCTGATAATAATGTTTTAGAAGCTTATTAATGGCTAATGGCACTTTAAGAGGCAGTATGCAAGAACTAGACTCCCGATAAAAGGACTGAAAATCAAGACTTTGTTTATTATGTTTTAGTGGTACTTGACAATCGAGAATATAAAATTAAATCTGCATTCATCGGAGACAATTTAGTGATATATTTGTCTTAAACTTCAAACATTCGGAATAATGAAATTTGACTAAAATTTTCAATATATATTCATTTTTCATTATTGATTTTGGAATTATTATAGCAAGAACAACCCAGCTCTCAAAAAATGTATATTTAAGTTACGGGCTTAATGCAATCTAATGTTGTGTTAAAGTATATTAAGTTTACAATTATTTATTTATATTATTATAACAAGAACAGCCAGCTCTGGCAAAATGTATCTTTAAGTTATGGGCTTCAATGTAGTCTGTTATTATGTTTAATGTACTAAGTTTACAATTATTTATTTATATTGTTATATTTTATCTTTGTTACCTTGTAATTGATATTTATTGAACAGATTGTAAATCTTTAATAAGGGCATAATTATTGTTTTATTTCTTAGAACAACTCACAAGCATGAAAATATAACACCTGTCACAGACAGGCATAACTTCAGGCTTTGTTGGCACAATCTCTCTGGTGCCTGTCATTTTGTCAGATAGAGATTTTTACTTTTATCATTCCTTTTATTATGAATTCATAATACATGTCTGGCACACGTTTCAAAATGTCATGCACTCTCGGGTAAGTTGATATTAACGCAGGGACCATACAATATAAAAACATTTATATTTTCATAAAATTTCGTCATTTCTCATAAAATTATCATAAAATGGAAAAATATCATAAAAAATATAAAATTTCACTATTTCTCATAAAATTATCATAAAATGAGACGAAATGTTTTCAAAATACAAAATAAACCATAAATCGCTACTCCCAATAATAAATATCTATACTAATGAATAAGAAAATCATCCAGGCATTTTCTGACCCCCAGCTTGATGCTCTCTTTCATATTCAATTTGATAGTTTTCAGTCAATGTGGGTATATGAACATAGGAGAAGATGACTGCGACTATTAATACCACCAGTGCTACTGGTGGGACGTTGTTACCCGCATAATACTTGCTGAACACTACTTCATGGACCGGAGAAAAGTTAGTTACTGTCAGTGCAGTTCTATAAAAAAAAAATCATATTTGATATTGATAAAAAAATATAAAGTTATGAAATGTGATAAAAACATTATAAAAATATCATAAAATTTCATAAAACATCATAAAATAATCATAAAATTTGATTAAAAAATATCATAAAAATCATAAAATTCCACTAAAAGGATTCAATAAAATGTAAATTTTTGACAAAAATTTGTTCAGGCCAATTACGGTCCCCCTATTAACATGAATAATTGTTATATATATATCTATTCAAGTCTGGTTGTTATTTTGAAAGCACTAAGTCTGAACATTGATGTTGGATTTTATGTTCTCCTGTGAAATATATTATCACATTAAATTCAATTTGCAATAATATTATTATTTGCAATAATATATATCATGATTACACCCTAAATCTTTCATTATATTGTAAATATATCTCATCTATCATTATTGTTGTTTTCTTTTGTTATGATCATATTCTACATTCCATCGTGATTGTCATCAATGTTGTATCATTATAATCTTGTTTTAAATTTAACATAATTATATCCTAAATCCATCATGATTTACATAAGAAATCTATTGTGATTGTATATAAAATCTATTGTGATTGTATATTAAATCTATTGAGATTGTATATTAAATCTATTGTGATTAAATATTAAATCTATTGTAATTGTATATTAAAGCTATCATGATTAAATAATAAATCTATTGTGATTGTATATTAAAGTTATCATGATTGTATACTAAGTCCATCATGGTTACATTAGAAATCGTGATTGTATATTAAATCTATCATGGTTACATTAGAAATCGTGATTGTATATTAAATCTATCATGATTACATTAGAAATCTATAAAGATTGGATATTAAATTTATCTTGATTTTATATTAAATCTATCTTGATTTTATATTAAACCTATCATTATTAATTTTTATCAATATGATTATTTTCTCAAACCTATCATGAATGTATACTGAATATTAACTATATTCTCGGTCAGGGCAAGCGTATGTGTGTTGTCTAATCATGAAGTCAGCTTTCATATACCCATATTGTAATGTACATGTCCCCCTTTATGTTTATCCATTAGTCCATCTGTCATTTATATTCCTTGTTAGCACAATAGAGGCTACAATAATCCATATATATTCGGACCGGTTGTTTATCTCATTGAAAGGAAGAAACCTTTGTCAAAGTGTTTTTTTCAATATTCACCTCCAGAGTTATGTCATATAGTAATACAACAGAGGGTGATCTTATGGACAAGAAACTCTTGTTATTAACCTATCTTTCTAAAATTTATATTGTTTGTCTTTCCATTGTATTTAAACAATGAATGCTACTGATTTTCACCATTTTTTGTAATAACTTCCAGGGTTATCTCCCTTTGTTATGAAATCCTTTAACCCTTTGAACAGGAGAGACTGTGGTGTTCTTATGGCCACGATATGACATCAGATGCCCAGACAACAATTGTTGGTACGACTAACACCACAAGGTGGAATACTTGGAGATAAAGCAAAGAAAGCAATTGTGTAGTTCACATTATACAAGCGGCCAGTTTACCTGTCGCAACCTTCATTTATTAAACATCCAGTCATCGGATGTCTTGGTCCCAGGAATCCTGTGTAGAGGTCACAAAACTTTTAGGGACTCGGTGGTCAATGGGTTACATATGATGACCTTTTTGAAATTTGTAGGAGTTTAACTCACAACTGTTTGGATGACTTAGCTGCTGGTGGGTTTATGTTTTGTTGCTTGGCAACCAATGTTTATGTTAAATTGGTGCCTGAATATATTATAAGATTAATGGTGCTTGGTTATGATTATGAATAAAACAAATTTTCTCAATCTATCCCCTGAGTCTGTTATTTTTACTAAAATAACATTGTACCAGTCTATCTAATATAATCAAGTTTTCAAATTTTATTAGTTGTGAACAGTCCCATAATATATCTGAGTTTTTCCCTTGCTTTCATCTTTTTGATGATCATCAACTACCTGTCTCAAAATAGTCAACAGAAAATTGTGAGAAGATAAACTGTATTCAAACGAATCCAAATCTATGTGGAGTAACAAAGAAACGATTTTTCCATTGTCCCTCATGTGTAAGAGAAAGTGCCAACTATATTAATCCAGTCTGATTAAAACACAGATCCTATTTCGTTTCGTTTTTATAGTTCAAAATCTCGTTTTACTTGTCTTTACTACACTAGGATCTGGAAGATTTGTTATCATTGACGTGTTCTGAATGATGTTAGAGATTAGCCAATGAAACGGTCTGTTACGGCGAGTTCTTGGCCTTTTAATGCAGGTAACTGTGGGTAAACCACTAGAAACACCAACGCTGATTGATTAATCAATGTCTGGAGTCATAGGGTCAAAAGCCGCTCGTTTGACCCCTGACGTGAACTCCCACTATAACTTGTCAGATCTTATTTGAATCAGATTGATATTAATCGTATTATGATCTACCTACAATCAATCTATAAATCTAGTACTGTTTATTATTATACAATATTTTGCGCCTTGGTACACACAGTACTTAGCTTACGTTGTAACTAAAACCAATATTTGTCAAGAAAGCGTAATTAATTGTTTTTAGCAATAGCAATAATTCGTCAGGGTGGAACTGACATTGGCCTATTGGCCTACCGCAATTACTGTAGGCCTACCTTGGACAAGCTACCGCCCGGTCAGTTCTATTTCAAACAAGAGCTGGCTCGTTAACCTGGATTGTTCGATCACGAAGTTGGCCTATTAAGTTTCTCTGGATTTTCCGGCGTTGTTTCCACTTCTCATTAGCAAGAAACCGTGTCTATAGTCATTCCGATGGTACGGAAAACACTTTGACGTGCACATAAGAGAACAAGACTAGAAGGTCGTAACGCTGCAGCATGCCACACAGGCAATAGTTCTCTGTATGGTGTATGTCCGTCTTCATTATCCAGGTTAGTGGTCAAAAGTTAAATCCCATTTCGAATGTGAGAGAGAAATGGTGTTTAACGTCCCCTTGACACAAACTAGGTCCTTTCGGGAATAACACATGGTTTAATTTATGTTAATAATTCACGTGCGCGTAGGGATCTTTAGCAGTGGAAGGACCCGGGAAAAAACCACGAGATTGGACAGGCGACCCTACTCCTTGTCACGTACAACGAAACCGTATGTCCGTCTTCATTATCCAGGTTAGTGGTCAAAAGTTAAATCCCATTTCGAATGTGAGAGAGAAATGGTGTTTAACGTCCCCTTGACACAAACTAGGTCCTTTCGGGAATAACACATGGTTTAATTTATGTTAATAATTCACGTGCGCGTAGGGATCTTTAGCAGTGGAAGGACCCGGGAAAAAACCACGAGATTGGACAGGCGACCCTACTCCTTGTCACGTACAACGAAACCCCGCCAGTTGACTCAATGACAGACCTATGATGCAGCGCGCACATGCTAACTATTCGGCTATCTATGGCGTGGCTTAGACAGGATTAAATCAAAAAACTTAATAAGATAAACGTTCTTTAAAGTAAAAACACATACAATAATTTGTTAATAGAACACAATTTTTATGGGAAACATTCACTGGTTTATTCTAAAAGCACGACGTTTCGACAAGTATCCTCTTATCGTTTCCCATAAAAATTGTGTTCTATTAATGTGTTTTCCAATCGCTAAATGCCACTTAAAGATTATACAATAATTTGATTGCTTAAATATAGCTAAGTGTTAATTATCAAGAGCCCAACATCGAATAGTGGGCTATAATTGATAGTGTATTTCGAGGTCGAGTGTTTTATCAATATTACACACAGTGACAATATTGTCAGTACTGTATTTTGACAATACTGTGAATCATTTGTAGGTGATTATTAACACATTGTGCAATATATTCACGGAATCAAAGTTGATATTTATTAAAAGTTGCCCAATAGTAATGTATTGCATGTGGCACACTATCAATATAATTGATCATTATTTTATTCAGTAGGCGGAGACAACAATAGGAAAATGTGCCTATATTATCAATAAATGGAAAAAAATATTGAATCGTTGGGGAGGGGGGGGGGGGGAATGTTATCAATAAGATGTATTATGTAATATTTAGATAAAGGGCTGCCAGTTTCGCTATACAAGTTTAAAAATAGAAATAGACATTTAAAAAGGAATATATTGAAAATTTCAGTCAAATTACTTCATTCTGAGTTTAGTTTGATGAATATCGCAGTCTTGCTTTTCATTGCTGTCGTTGTTACGATAAAAAAAAACCCCAACAAAGTCTCGATTATCCACTTTTATATTGAATTATTAAATGACCACCAATGAACTAGTGACTTGATTATGAGCTTGTTATGAGAGTAAATGTCTAATTAACAATTTGTATAACATGTGAGGCCAAAATAAAGATCTGCAATACGCATTTTACCTCGTACATAATGCATCTTTAATCAATATTATGGACAATAATATTGTGCGTCGTGCCATTTAAAACAACTTAAAATACAGATACGCTACACGCGCACGTGCATTTCAATGAAATCATCACGCGGGTCCAATATTTCCGTCATATCTAATATAAAATTTTGTACGCCAACATCAATATTTGTATTTTAAATGCGAGATATGATTTAAACAAAAATCAAATTTCGCGCTTTATCGCCCAAAGAGTAGATCACAGGACAATCATGGCGTCCTCGCTAAACTTTGCTTATTTATCACGGACCAAGGTTGTTTATTATCTCGGCAGACATGTTAATAATATCACCAAGATAACAAAACTTCACATTAGATGCAACAGTAACTCTAACAAGATGGCGTCAAGTAAAGTACCTAACATAAAATTAAGCAGTGGACATGCGATGCCTGTTGTAGGATACGGTACATTTAATTTATTTAAGGTATAAGTATAATCCTGCATATATATACAGACATATTATGATAATTATAGTGTCTTTGTGTCCTTTGCCCAGTGCAAATTGGCATGGGCTGCAACTATATGGTCAGTTATAGTTCAACGATCATACGGTATGTCTCCGTTCAAAACATCAACATTTTAAATGCTAAAAATGAAACAAATAAACAATTATAATACTAGTTGACAGTCCAATAACCCTAGTTTTACGATTAAAGGAATGATATCAACGAATCGTGTATGATAAATGCAGAATTTGTACCGTAAATGATGATGAAGTTGAGAATTTGTAAAGGCTCCTATTAAAACTCGCCTTGTTTATTAATTATAGGTAGATAATGTCAACTAGGTAACAACTAGACTCAGACGAGATAAGAATATGGAACAAGACAATACTGTGTTCATATCTTACTTAATGTCAATACGTAACAGTGTATACATGTACATACTGTGTGGCCTAGAAACCTAAATAACATTGTATACATCAGAATTCTTTTCTGCCATCGATATTGTGAACTACATCTCTACTCTACAATGGAACAGCGTGGCCCCCATAGACGTGAACTTGAACAGCGAGTTCAACACTGAAATGTCCCCAAGTCATCAATAGAAGACGGAATTACAGAATTATATAAACACATAGCAAGGGTTTGGTCAGCATCGACTGTGAAATGTACACTAGTTCATGAATAGAGATGTGTTATAGAGCTGCATGACCACCAACCATGTCACTGAAATGTATAGTGGCGTGACCCACAATTTCAATAAAATGTAAAGTTATTTTTTTTATATGACCAACAATTTCTCCAAAATGTAAAGTTATATGACCAACAATTTCACTGAATTGTCGAGTTATATGAGAAGCGATATTACTAAAATGTGGTCATCAGGGATTTGGCCATCGGACGTGAACTGAGTGTCTATCTTCTCGTCCACATAAAAATATAACGGCCTAAACCCGAGCAGAAAAAGGATCTATGGGTGGGTTAAGGTAAATCAAGCTAATTTCGTTTTCTCGTCATGTCTCGTATTCTTAACCGCAATGGGCCCGAAGTAAAGCAGTTGTTCCGCGGGCCCAGCTTTACCCAGTCCGCCCCTGGTCAGAGAGTAACTTATACCCATTTCTGAATAAAGAAAAAGGTATCCAAATTTGATATACTTGCATTTGCTCTTTGAAACTTCTAAACTTTATCTTCCTTATTATTTATTTTTTTTGTTTAGGAAAATGAAGTACGGGATGCAACACGTGTGGCCTTAGAAGTTGGATATCGCCATATTGATACAGCCTGGGTTTATAAAACTGAGGAAGAAGTTGGTGATGCCGTTACACAAAAAATAAAAGATGGAACCGTTAAAAGATCAGATTTATTTATTACAACTAAGGTATAATAATCCATGCACGTACTGTTCAAATTACATGTTAATCTGGGTAAAATATAACAGTGTTTATTACACTGCATTATTTGGACTGATTTGTTTTGTGTGATGACAATCTGTCCAGATCCCAAAAGTTACGTACGACAATAGATAAATCTAATGAGGAATTCCCGTGTCCAATATTTTTAGCTATCAATAAAACCAATATTAGTAAACTAACAGATTCCGCTTAATCTTTGTGGACAAAATTTTATTCGCATAGAGCACGCCCCATTATACTAATGGGAAAATATTTCAGATCAACACTATTCATCAATCTATCCACATATTCTTTACAAGGTCGTCCTTTGCCGGGAGCCGAGGTGGCCCAGTGAGTAAGACACTGATTCACTAACAAGGAGGTCCGGGGTTGTTGTTGTTCGGATGGTTCGAAACACTGTTGACAGATTAAATTCGAAATAAGAGTAGACCAGCGCCACTATCCGGGCAAAATTTCCCTCTCCCACTGTATGGTGTACGCCCGTTTTCATTAGCGCAGTCGGTGCAGAAAAGTAGGACATTAACCCCTATTT